ATTTAAGAAGCGACATCATAGAACACCGGGCATACCGATAGATGCTCCGTCTTCCGCAACAAATGTTTTAAGGTGTAGATGCTTATGCTAACTGTTCCCATTAGGCCGTAGCATTCAGACTGATTATTATACACACGTCGTTCTCTCCCTCTCATCCCTTCCTCTTTGCCGGATCCACATTTAATTCCTCGATTACACATTATTGCACATGTTATTTCATCTAATTTCGTGTCTTCTGTTAGCAGTCGTTCATTTATTGTCTTCAGATTATCGCCCGTGTCCAGTATTTCAAGGCACATGATAGTTTAGTTTTCTTTAAAAAGCATACACTGGAAACTTAATGCGAAACGAAAATCCTGAAGACGTGATGATGGATTTCCCAGAGAGTTGAGATTGTGTCATCCTGTTCTTTTTATTTTTTGGATATAGTAAATTTAAAATATATATCACAGTTAAATTAAAGATATACCGTAATATCACGAACTATAAAAAAAAAAGGTTACTATTTATCATTATTATATTATTTAAATGTTAACTTTTATCCAGGGTGGTTTGATTTCCTTTTGATTGTATTTAATAAATTACAGGCCTTCTGTTTACATTAATTTAAATATTATCATTCTGTTGTTAATATTTTTGTTTCACTACTTATAATATAAGACGAATCGGATAAAATGAACTTTAGTTTTAGTTGATCAGATGTGCAGTTGAAACTGATCTCTATATTTGATATACTAAGATACTGACTGATACTGAGTGATACACTTGTTGAATTGTTCATTTCCGCACGGCACCATTGTTATTCTCTGATTTGAGCTTGTTTACGTTTGCCTGACTACATATAACTTATATTATAAGTTGACATAATTTTTTTTTTCTAAATCTTTAACCTTTTTATCTGAAGAGCAAAATAAATAGATCTAAAAACTTACTACAGATCTACAAGACCACTCACCACTGTAAACAAACTGCTTATCATGCCAGCATTTGTCATAATTTTATCATGTTTATTTTTAGAAGTAGAACAACAACACAACAGTGACAATACGCTAGTCTTCTTCTCATATTTTTTGTTAGTTTTCTGCTTCTTTGTTGATGTTTTTTCCCTTCTTCTTTCTCTGACTGTATATTTAACTGAACTTATTGATAATAAATATTAATTCACGCCTGGCTCGTTAGCTGAGTTGGCTCTCCTTTAAATACCGATCGTTAGCTGGAAAGCCGACGGTCGCTTAGTGGGAGTTCACTCCCTTGGTTGCAGTGCAAATACGGACCATACAGAGGGAACGAAACAAATGACATACTTACCTATCATCATACGGTTGCGTAGTCATCATACGGTTGCGTAGTGTGTAGGGTTAGGGATAGGGTTAGCCTTATGGGTAGGGTTAGGGTTAGATGTAAAAATTTTGATGTAGGAGTTCCAAATATTGGCCGACAATGTGATGCTTGTGGGAGTGGCGCCACTGGAATTATCCTAAATATGACGGCAATAGCGCACGGCTGGTGCCCAATTGATGGCGAATTGTCCATGTGAGAAGCATCCACAGTCCTTCAATTGTTTGGGTGTGTATGTCACTGTGCGCAATTAGTTGGAACTCCTGCATCAAATTTGTCACATCTAACCCTACCCCTAACCACGCAAATTTGTCGGTCATTAAAGCATACAGATCTGCAGGAGTCACATCCGTAGCAGCTTATAGCACCATTATACTTACTTACTTACTTAGTCGCTCCTCTTCTACCTTGGGGTGTAGAGGTTTGCCAGAGAGATGGCCAGACGTCTCTATCAGCAGTTTTTTTCTGGCTTTGTTCCATTCCAGTCCTCTGTCAGTCAGGGACTGTCGGATGTTGTCTTCCCAGCGCACTCTGGGTCGTCCCGGAGGTCTGGTTCCCTGGTTCTTAGCCTCCCATGCTTGCCATGGTGGCCGATTTTCTCCCATTCTGCACACATGTCCAAACCATCGTAACTGTGACTGATCCACTCGGGTTAGTAAGGGTTGGGTATCAAGATCTTGACGTATTGTCTGATTGCAGACTTTGTCCCTTCTTGTCACTTGGACCACCTTTCTCAGGTATCTCATTTCCGAGGCCTGCAGCTGGCTTCTGTGAGCTGTTGTCATTGCCCATGACTCACACCCATAGGTCAGGACTGGTACATAGGTAGAGCGGTAAACAGCCATTTTCGTCCTCTTGCCAATTTCTCTTTTGCTAAGAAACCCTCACACCATTATATAAGGATATATTTACTACAAAATAAAAAACCCAGATGTCCCAGAGGAGTCAAATAAACACCCAGATCTGGGGGACACACCCAAGCATTGGCAGCCCTGATGTCGACCTCACTGACTGTTTTGAATCGTGACTTTTCCTCTCCGTATTTGCAATGCAGCCAAGGGAGAGAACTCCCACTAAGCGACCGTCGGCTTTCCAGCTAACGATCGGTATTTAAAGGAGAGACGCTGAGTTAGTTAAAGCTGACTGCACAGCGACTAGGTAATGAACTCCTTGTGGTCAGGGTTCACGCCCAGGGTTAGGCAGAAAAGCCACATTTCTCCTAGATTTACGGTATCAATTATGGAGTCAAGGCTGAAGGGTTGCGATATCCATAGTACTGAGCCAAAGGGTTAACAACTCATGGTTTCTGGATACTTTAAAAAAAAAATGAAAATTCACTGGTGCCATATCAGATCTTATCTCAAGCAATACATGCAAAGCCCTACTAATCTCCTGCTATCTCCTGTAGCTGCAGCCACTTCCACGTCTCAACCCATAGTATTCTCATTCTCATCTGTTTTTCTTTCACTTTCCCCTGTGCTGTTTTTAATGGTGTTTTTTTTTTTTTTAGTTTGGGGTATCCAAAGAAAGTAATTTACAGTAAACTCGTACTATCGACATATATTCTCAGTGCGAGTCTCTGTTGATCTTGGTTTGCCTTGTACTTTAAAAAAGGTCAGAAATAAATTTCATGGACATGTAATTCTGTTCATGAATGCAGTTTTTACAGACCTAGGGATGATTCCTGGAACTGCAGAGAGAGACCAAGCCGTGTGATATAAAAAAAACAATTACTCCTCTCGAATATAACCTTTTTTTTTTCTTAATATGTGTGCCCTATCCAGTACCAGCCACTTCTAATTCTTTATTTGCAGGATTTTGTTTATTTCTCTCCATAAGCTCAGCGTCAGTGCTTCAGTCAAACCCTCTTTTTTTTTTAGCTGTATTATGTGCATGTATTATTTTTGACAGATCTGAGTATTGGCTAATAAACAGCATCCTGTCTCGGAAGCTGAAATATTTTGGTTATATCAAGCGCCACGACAGATTGGAAAAAATAAAAGCAGAAGGCATGGAACCAGGAAGGAGCTTCAGTGGCCAACTAACACAAAGATGGGCACAGGATATAAGTGACTCTTGAGTATGAAAGTACATGAGGCGGGAGAGCTGGCGAGAGACCAAGTTTCTTTCAGGCAGACCGTGAAAAGGACCTGCTACATGATGATGATTTTATGCAGGCACTAGTTAATTATTATACTGTATTAATAACTGTTTAATTATTAATAAACATCCTTAAATCCTGTCCTTTATACAGCATATCAAGGCAAAACTTTTGGCCAGGAGAAAAATCGGTGCAAGTCAAACTTTACCGGTCGTTGAGTGAATTGCAACAGACAGTAAAGTTTATACTAGAGACAACACTGCAGATAGAGATAATCTATTTCAAGTGGATGAAAGAAGAAAAAGAATGTTTAATCAGCAGTACTGATTTCATATTAAAACTAAATATTCATAGTTTGGTACTACTACCTTTAGTTTTTTTTTGACTTTCATAAATTTGTTAGCACTGTTGACGTCACTCTTGCCCTGTATTTTGATTTTAATATGCCTCCATCTTTGTCTCCATGGCCAGCTAAATATAAAATGTTAGATTCTGCTTCTTGAATTCTTTCATTTGCTGTGGCCTCCCATTAAGTATTATTTTGTATGTTAAGTCGAAAATGTCAACAGCAAAGTCCACATCATCAGACTATTTTGCACAGCAAGATCATTGTCTAAAAAAATACATCCACTGTAAAAGTCAGCTGTCTGTATAGGAATGTTGTTTAGGTTAATTATTCCAATTTACTTTCATAGAAGCTGGTGGCAGAACAGTTAAGAATGCATGGCTGTCTTTGTCTGCTTCTTTTTCTTGACGTTCATCGGCTATACACTCTGGCATTACGTTTTGGTTGTTCAACCACTTGTGGTCTTAAGTATTGTTCCAGAACTTGAGTTTTACATGACATCTATTTTACAGTTCTGACTTACTTGTATGCAGACTGTTGGTTCCTTTTCTCTTAGGCAGATGCAGTCTTGACTTTAAAGAAAACAACTATTCGTTTTCACCCACTGGGACCCAGAAACCCACACGAGAGGAGGGCTCTCATTCAGAAGATCCAGGTTGAAATCCTCAGAAAGATGATGAATTTATTTCTGACATGGCAAAATAAAAAACTTTACCTGTACAATCTTAAGTGACTACAGTAGCCATCAGCCCTCAGTTTCAAGACTCAAGCATCCCCAGCACCTGTTCTCGAGGCATGGTGTCTGCCTTGAGTGCTAGAGGATCCAGGTTCAATCCCTGGTACGAGCTGGGACTTTTTTATATGGACTTTTAGTAATTTCCCCCTGGTCTCTTGGTAGTGAGATAGGACACCCCTGTGCATTGTTGCGCACGTAAAAAATCCCTTGGCAGTTGGAAATCGAAAAGAGTAGCTTAACGGCACGCCCAAGCAAACTTTGGAGTAAAAAATTTACCCAAAGTGTTTCAGGATCCTCGCCGGTGCTACAGAACCTGTGCGCTGTGCTGAGCTTCTTCTGACTCAAACTTGAGTTATGGGTTACTACCTGTGTGCCATGATGTTGATCAGTTGTTTAAACTTCAAAACTTCCTACACACATTTAAAAATGCAAGAAAAGACAGTATTTTTTTTAAATACCTTTCAGATCACCACTGAAAAATGGCTGGTAACATTTTAAATCGACTGTTTCGTCTGAACTTCCCTGACTGCACAAGAGAGGCCTTGATGTTTTTAACATCTTTCATATCCCAGGACTGTCCTACCATCCCGGGACTCAGCGCCAACACAGAACAGATGATTGTAGAGATTTGCCAGGAGTTTGTTCTCTTCAAGTCCATGAGAGGCCCACAGAAGGTATACAGTCATTTGCAACTTTGTTCAAAAACCAAATCAGTCTGTAGCTCAGTCATCACTTGAGGCTGTTCAACGATGTTTGCATATTATCATCCTCATCTTAAACCACTTCTGCTGTTAAGTGTCATGGGGAGGAATAATCTGCAATCCAGCGCACATGTGTTGTCAGTGGATATTGTTATGCTGTGAAGGCATAGAATGTCTTCTGTATTTTCTAGGGTGTTCTCTTGCTCTTGTAGCTGATCTACTGAGATGTGGTGCTTATGATAGTATTTGATCTTGCTTCATTCTAATGAGATGGCCAAACCACTTGATCTGCTGTTTCTTGATGAATCTAGTACAAGGTGTTATTCCCATAATTTGTCTGATAGTATCATTATTCACTCGATCTCGGATGGTTACGTTGGTGACTTTTCTCAGGCATCTCATCTCGCAAATGGTAATTTTGCATACATGGGTTTAGATAGTGTTCATGTTTGGCATTGGTAGCTTAATGTTGGAATGAATATGCTGTTTATAATGTGGCTGTTGCACTCATAGTTATGTTTGGATATCTTAATAATACTGACAGTTGGTATATAAGTGCACTTGCTTTCTGGCGATGTTTACTGAGGGAGGAAAATCGGGATCATCCCAAGCCAGAGGCCTGAGCCCCAGCAGGAAGATCTTTAATACAATACAGTTGGTAATGATCTTTGGGACATTTGCTAGGCTCTGCATGCCACATTTGGCCCATGGGTCCCCAGATGAATAGCCCTGATTTAAATCATCTACTTGTCATGTAAGTTAAATATCACAGCATTTTCTGTCTCCTGTTCAAGTTTGTAACAGGCAGCATGTTGGTAAGTAGAGCAAGTAAAAGTAAAGAACTCTGGTTTCAGTCCTGAAATCTTCATTTAACATTTTATCCCTTCTTGTTACTTCAGCACTTCTTCCAAGACATATCTCTACTGTTATAATTTTACACTCATTAGTGGTAGTTTTGATCCGTTGAGCTTAAAAGCAATAAATATTTCAGAGGGACTTTATCAGGGCCGCTGTAGGGCAGAATTAGATACTCTAATAATTCATATACATCAGGTTAATAATCTAAGAACTGTCTGCAGTAGAACTGTTGCAATACATTTGCCTATGTTATGAGAATGTCTGAATGCGGGTGGCATCACTTTTAAATCAGGTAGTTATACTGGTCAAACGAGTATCTATAGACTATAATATATGGAACTGTCTCATTATAAGTGACTAGAGTCCTATCAAGTCCTCTCACTTACAAGTTACAACTGTACATTACTGAAACTGCAAGAGACGACACTTCTCAAGTTATTAAATGAGTGCCAAATATAATACACTTAACAATGATGAGTAATGAACAGTAATGAACATTTATATGTCTCTCCTAATCAACAAAAGATTCCGTTTTTCAATAATAATTATAATACTCTCTGTTCAGCAACATGTGCCTACAGGCCGAGAAACCCTGCCATTTCACATAAAGACCAGATTCATCAATAATTCAGTACTGGAGTTCCTGTGTAAGCTAGACTGCATTTGGTTTTGTGGGGAAGCAGACAAGGATCGTTGCTCACAAAATACCCACAAGTTTATATAACAGCCCTTTAGTGTCGACAAACAAACAGTATCATGGACACGGGTAACCACACCAAACTGGTACAGAATTAGCCACCTGGCATAACAAAGTCTGAAGGAATACAGATTTCGGTCTTGTTGCAAAAAGACAATGTAACTGCCAACAAATGCACTATAATAGATAACTGACTCAAGAGTCCTGGAACAATAATATCCGTTAAATCAAAACACTTAAAGCCTTAAGACACACAGCAAAAAGTGACTGGATGTCACAGGCCTACTTAATTAACTACTTATTCTGGCTTGTTGGGTAGGCCAGCTAACAGACTTAACTACCCTAGAACACACTTAAAACACACCCCTACGGAATACACACACAATCTTTAACGTATATAGAGTACTGGTCAGCGCTAGGAGCTCAGTGTTCCTATTAGCAAGACTGGCTCAAACACACTGTCTTCAGAAGTGGTCTGAAGGTTAAGTTGTGTGTCTGAGACTTAGCTCAGGTTACATGTTGATTTCAAGGTATGTGTGAATCTTACATTCAGTCACATTTTGTGGATCTCCGGGGATTTTCCTGTGACGGATCTACTGAAGCACGAACCCGATAAATTTTTGCTAGACTAATGAGTTGAGTTGAGACAAGAATTGACATCACGGCATATGGGGCATTCCAATGCATGCTCGGTCCTCATCTTCAGCAGCCAGCGCAGAGTTCCAGTACTGATTGTACCAGTCACAATCTGGTTATATGTCCATCTTGCCTTTCCCCTGAGTGTGGTGAGCCCGCCAGCCCCTCTGGTTTCTCATTCTCTCCAGGCCATAATAATCATTTCCTCTACTGATTCCATTGCTTGTTCCCAAAGGGCCTGGACCACATCTGCATTGTCATGTATCAATTCACCACCCAGTGGTGCAGATTTACTAGGCATATATACAAAACGAGGCGGGAGACCGAAGATAACTTATCACTGACATCAGAAGGAGACAGTCATCATTTTTCGGCCATGTTATGAGAAGAGGGAAAATAGAACATGTTGTGACCACTGGAAAGATCTGTGGAAGGAGGGATAGAGGAAGACAACGAGTGAAGATGCTTGACAGTCTTGTTGCATGGCATGGAGGTGTGTCGGCACACAAACTGATACATGCTGCAGGAGATCGCGGATTATGGAGAGGCATGATCGCCCACGCCAGTCGGCAAGGCACCTGATGATGATGATGATATACAAAGCCCGGCGGTTACAGTTTCTGCTCTTTGGTTAGCTGTCAGGTGGTCCACAAAGCAATTTCGCCCATTTCGGTTGTTGCCGCAGGTGTAAATAAAATGGTTGAGTAACACTGCTTTAGAGGATGTGTGATTTGCCAGGTTGGAACAGCTTTGCAAACAGTGTTGTACCCACAGTGTCTTTGGCTTGTTTTATTTACAGAAACTGACTGAGGTCCAGGAATTACACTTACTGGATATGATCTGCAAATGTTTCTCTGAAGCCCCAGAGAAAAGCAAATACAGAATATTCAATCTTATGTTTGGAGCCCACGGCGAGGGACTGTGAACCTGTTAACCAAGTTGGTCTCCCTTGCCTTGTCAGTCCGGTGCACCCCTGTATTATTTTGTGCTGCCATCTGGATGCAGGTATTTAGTTTTCCAGATTTGCTTACCAACTGTTTTTTCAAACATAACTTAGTTTTAAAGATGTTATAGTTTATGACATGATACATTCTGAAATGCTTGGTTTACAAAACATGTGCCATTTCTCTGATAGAACATGGATACAATTTAACATCTGTATTAGCTTCAGTATCGGAGCCGCCATGGTCTAGTGGCTAGATGCTCGCCTGCGGATCGGAAGATTGTGGATTCGGGTCCCCCCGGGAGCTGGACTTTTTTCTTCAGATATTACTTTATTTTCCAGCTCGACCCAGTGTTGAGTGTGTACCAGGTACCGTCCGGGAAAGTAAAGGCGGCTGGTGTAATGCTGACCGTATCACTCACCAAGTGCTGCTTGGTCTATAAGAGACAGCTGAAGGCATGAAAAAGGGTTCTTTGCTTCTACTTTACTTTATATTCCAAAATACTTGCCCTATAACACATGTATCATTTCTCTGATAGGGCATGGATACAATTTAACATCTTTAGTATCTTCAGTATATTAATATTCTTTTTAGTAGTTAAAACCCTACCTTTTATCTTTAAAGTTATCTGGAAAAAAAAATTTTTTTTAATTCTAAACCTGTCTTATTCTGTTTGTTTATTATAAGTTTTATTTGGGATATTCTTCTTCTTCTGTGTTCACCCTTACAAGGTGATATGCATCTTCTAATGCTGTTTACAGCTAGGCTGCAATATCTGCATCTTTCAGCCAGACACATTGGTTTTTAGGAATTTAAAATTATTCACCTTCTACGACAGGATTGCTGGGGGGCAGTCAATCTTTTCCCTTTTTTTCCCCCAGCATAGGGACCAGGGACCCACACAGGGACCTGGAACCCACACAGGGACCTGGAACCCACACAGGGACCAGGGACTCACACAGGGACCAGGGACTCACACAGGGACCAGGGACTCACACAGGGACCAGGGACCCACACAGGGACCTGGAACCCACACAGGGACCTGGAACCCACACAGGGACCAGGGACTCACACAGGGACCTGGAACCCACACAGGGACCTGGAACCCACACAGGGACCAGGGACTCACACAGGGACCAGGGACTCACACAGGGACCAGGGACCCACACAGGGACCAGGGACTCACACAGGGACCTGGAACCCACACAGGGACCTGGAACCCACACAGGGACCAGGGACTCACACAGGGACCAGGGACTCACACAGGGACCAGGGACTCACACAGGGACCAGGGACCCACACAGGGACCTGGAACCCACACAGGGACCTGGAACCACACAGGGACCAGGGACTCACACAGGGACCAGGGACTCACACAGGGACCTGGGACTCACACAGGGACCAGGGACCCACACAGGGACCAGGGACTCACACAGGGACCAGGGACTCACACAGGGACCAGGGACTCACACAGGGACCTGGAACTCACACAGGGACCAGGGACTCACACAGGGACCTGGAACCCACACAGGGACCAGGGACTCACACAGGGACCAGGGACTCACACAGGGACCAGGGACTCACACAGGGACCAGGGACTCACACAGGGACCTGGAACCCACACAGGGACCAGGGACTCACACAAGGACCAGGGACTCACACAGGGACCAGGGACTCACACAGGGACCAGGGACTCACACAGGGACCAGGGACTCACACAGGGACCAGGGACCCACACAGGGACCAGGGACTCACACAGGGACCAGGGACTCACACAGGGACCTGGAACTCACACAGGGACCTGGGACTCACACAGGGACCTGGAACCCACACAGGGACCAGGGACCCACACAGGGACCAGGGACTCACACAGGGACCAGGGACTCACACAGGGACCAGGGACTCACACAGGGACCTGGAACTCACACAGGGACCAGGGACTCACACAGGGACCTGGAACTCACACAGGGACCAGGGACTCACACAGGGACCTGGAACCCACACAGGGACCAGGGACTCACACAGGGACCAGGGACTCACACAGGGACCAGGGACTCACACAGGGACCAGGGACTCACACAGGGACCTGGAACTCACACAGGGACCTGGAACCCACACAGGGACCAGGGACTCACACAGGGACTATGTGGGATATATATGATGACTTATTATTTTGTTTCATTGATATTGGGAGAACATATCTGTCAGAAGTGATTGATAGAACTTCCTCTGTGGGTTCCAGGACCCAGTTTCAGGGACCCACAAAAATAGTCCCACTGCTCCCCCCCCCCCCCCCCCCCCTTCCTCCCCCCTTAAAAACATTTTATAAAATTTGACTAATTAGGGGTGCTTCTTTCAGAGTATTTACATGAGAGGCGAGGAAGCAATGGTCTGCTTACAAATAAGCCAATCTGTAAAACTGGTGTGCATGCAGAACTTAAGTTGTGGAACAAGACTGAAGTCCAGAAGTGGACAACAACCAGAACTTTCCACCAGAGTTTACAGCCGGGGAAAACGAAGAACAGGAACATTGGCAGTACATGAGACAGACGGCCTGAGCAGATATGATTACCAGTGCCACATGACTTGGACTGTTAAGAAGATTACTTCATCTTTGCATTCACTGACTGTAAACTCTTTTGGAAAGTTCTCTTGTTTGTAGTGGATTTATTGTTGTTTAATCATGTCTTTTGAGTAGTTTTGATATATCAAATGAAAGCAATTTCCCTAATTATAAATTTTAACACAAAAGGCACAAACAGACTGCACAACTTTTGTCCTGGCATAGTCTTCTTCTTCTTCTTCGATCCTTCTGTCAGAAAACTTATATCAGGAGGGCGGTAGCCTTTATGAAAGCTATCGTGCAATCCATATCCTTTCGTGTACCATACAGTTTTGTCTTCAGTGTGGTTGGAACAGGCCAGATTGCGTCTCTGTTGTCAGCATACAGTTGGCAGTGTTGGAGCACATGCTCAGCATTTTCGGGTGCCACGCTGCAGGGACACGTCTCCGTATTTCCTACACCAAAAAATTTGAACATATGTTGACGAAATCTGTTGTGCCCTGTCCTTAGTCTGAATATAATACACTGTCCCTCTCTAGAGAGGCGATGAAGTGAGTCTTGGGGAGAAAATCTGGTGTGGGTATCCAGCCACCTTTCTTGGATACTAGCTTGTATTAGTGTTTTCATCTCTTGGTGGGTTAAGTCGCTATTTGGTTGTACCATGTCACTGCCGCTTCTGGCCAATCTGTCCGCTATTTCATTGCCTTCCAAGCCACAGTGACCTGGAATCCACTGCAGTACAGATTGTTCTACTGAAGAGCCTAAGTAAATCAGCTGTTGCGTCAAGTCTACAAACTGAGTGTCTTTTGGGTTAACAATTGCTTGTAGAACTGACATAGCATCAGTCAGAAAGACCACTCTGCTATATTTGATGTGCTGTTGTCCATTCAGGAAAGAACATGCCGCTAGAAGTGCTTCTGCCTCTGCTCTATAATTGGAGGAATATGAACCTGTTGGTACAGCCTGGTTGATTTTTAAACCATTTGGGCATTCTATGTATATTCCTCCTCCTCCGTCTCTTACTGCTCTCTTGGCTGAACCATCTGTATACACTCGAATCCAACTCTGGTGTGGGTAAAGTCTATTGATCTCTCCTTCTGTAGTTGATTTCATATCAGTGCTGCTCATTGATGATTTGGAGGAGACCCCTGTTACAGTGGTTCTGACTGTTGGTAGGCTATCCCTAAGCCAAGCGGGGCAGTCGTTGTAAGGTTTAAGTGGAACATTTGGTATTATGGGAGGGAGTTTGAGGACAGCGAGCTTGGCATTTGCGTTCTTGATAAAACAGGTTCTCTTTAGTCTAGCCTTCTGGGGTTTCTGCAGTCGGCTGTACATGGGTTGTTCTTGAAAGTGGTTGTATTTGGAGAGCTGGGTGAGGAGCTTTGTGTCTCTCCTATCTTCCAGATTATGGAGACCAGTAATTGTTTCCATATCTGATATTGGCGTGGAGCGCATTGCACCTGTCATAATACGGAGCGCATGGTTTTGGATCTTTGAGACTTTCTGAAAATTTGATTTAGCAGCTGTGCCCCAAGCAGCTATTCCATATTCTAGTGTTGGCCTCACATAGCCTGTATAGGTCCTCTTAAGGACATTGAGGTTTGCCCCCCAGTCTGTTCCAGCTAACTTCCTCATCAGTTGTGTTCTCTTGAGTCCCTTGCTCTGTGTCTTTTCTATCTGTTTTCTCCATGTGAGTCTTGGGTCAAAGGTTACTCCTAAATATGACGGTGAGTCATCATGTATCAGTGCCTGGCTGCCATATTTAAGTGAAAGTTTCTGGGGTTTGGTAGAGAGACTGAAAATTTTGTGTGTGGTTTTGGCCCCATTTACAGGCATGTACCAGCTATTGGACCACCTCTCTAGAGTTCCGAGGGATTCTTGAAGCCTTGTCTGTGCTTTTTCAGTGTCCTCCTCTGAACTCAGTAGCGCCAGATCATCGGCATACATAACGGCTTGAACTCCATTACAGAGGGTTGATTTTATCAGATGCATACTACAGAATTAAACAGTAACAACTAAGTGAGGTGTATATTTGTATTTCACTTCTTCTTCCAAAGGCCGCGGATGTCTGTGAAGACTGTTGTGTACACCTGTCATCCACTGATCTATAGAGGTTTTTCCCCCCACCAGAATGCTGAGAAAGAATTTTTAAAAGCTATATAAATCCTGTCTTGATATGTGGAAGTGAATCATGGACAGTTGGCAAATTCATAAAAGCTTATTTGGAAGCTGTGGAGATGTGGTTTTATAGACTAGTGATGAGAATACCCTGGACAGATAAAAAAGAGTAATGAAGACGTCTTGAAAGAAACTGACCATAAAGACATTTTTTGTCATGTGATAAGAAGGAGAAAACTGGAGTGCATCCTGACAGTAGAAAAGGCAGAGGGAGACCGAGATGAAATAGATGCTGGACAGTTTGACATCATGGCATGGTTGATTGAAAAGGTTGTGGATAGACATGTCTACCAATCCCACATGGCGTGGACTTGAAGAAGAAGAAGCTAACTGGTCATACCTGGGACCTCTGTACTGCATGTAGAGGGCATATCTGCAACACCTATATACAGAGGTCACTGTCCACATGGGCAAAATTCTGAGTTCCCAATCTTGAATTTCCTGTAACTATGACTGTATAGTCTTTTACGTCCAGTTCACAGTCTAAATACAATGTTCTTTTGCTTTCATGTGAGGAAGTTGACTTTTTTTTTTTTTTCTTTTCTTAGCATTCACTGGCTGTGAACTCCAATAGAAAATTTCCAATAGAAAATTCTGGTTGTTCATCCATTTCTGATCTTTAGTTTTGTTCCAGGGCTTGAGTAGTGCTGTACACTTGTTTTTCAGGTCTGGTTAATTTGTATGCAGACTGTTGGTACCCCACCTTTCAAACACATGTATTCTGACTTCAGAGGAACAACCCCTGTTTGGTCTATGACATACTTGTTAGGGCAAGTGGGTCTGTGCCCAGATGGAGCCTGGCACCCCAACAGCTTTATTTCATTTCTTCTTCTTCTTCATGTTCAGCTGCTGTAAACTGACGGAAAGTTCTGGTTGTTCATCCACTTCTGGACTACAGTCCTGTTCCAGAACCTGATTGTTGCGTGTGTATCCGTTTGATAGATCTGACTAGTTTGTATGCAGACTGTTTGCCTTTCAGGCATATGCACTCTGACTTTGAAGGAAGCTGCCAATTCGCCGACTCTTATGACGTGCTTTTTGGTAGGCAGTGGGTCTATGCTTGTTTTCCTTATAACAGGCCCCGGAACCCACATAGGGATTTTTTCATTTAAAAGGATTCATTTACTTGCATCACCTTGCTTAATTAATTGATTTCCTGTGTACATGTCAAATAAATCTGTATCTTTATTTCATTAAAAAAAGGAAAGAGACAGTCTTAGTCCAGATGTGAAAGGATTGACTCAGCGATTGGTCAGCGACTATTGCCTGTTGTACCCAGATCCTTCTAGTGTGTTTTCCTCTCTACCATCAGTCTCCCCATTGTTTGCCTGCAATTTTGTCACCTCCGCCACATCGTTCTATTCATTTGCAGGTAAGTAAAAATTATAATTGTGAAAAAAATTACCAGTTGTCTTTTATTTCTTCTTCCTGATGTTCAGTGATTGTCAACTCCAGCACAAAGTTCTGGTTGTTCGTTCCAGAACCTGAGTGTTGCCTGCACAGCCATTTTACGGTTCTGGATTGTTCGTATGCAGACTGTTATTTCCTTGCCCCTCAGGCAGATGTATACTGACTTTGAAAGAATTCCCCATTTAGTGGACTTCTGTGACGTACATTTAGTGGACTTCTGTGACATACATTTAGTGGACTTGTGTGACGTACATTTAGTGGACTTGTGTGACGTATATTTAGTGGACTTGCGTAAAGTACATTTAATTTACTTGTGTGACGTACATTTAGTGAGCTTGTGTGACGTACATTTAGTAGACTTGTGTGACGTACATTTAGTGGACTTCTGTGACATACATTTAGTGGACTTGTGTGATGTACATTTAGTGGACTTCTGTGGCGCTGTGACGTACATTTAGTGGACTTCTGTGACGTACATTTAGTGGACTTCTGTGACGTACATTTGTCTCCAAATGCTGTTACGCCGACGAAAGGAGTAAAGCAAGGATGTGTTCTGGCTCCCACGCTGTTTGGCATCTTTTTTTACCGCATTATTGAGGCGTGCATTTGGCACAGCAACTGAGGGGATATACCTCCATTCGAGGTCAGATGGCAATATTTTTAATCTGTCCAGGCTACGTGCAAGGACGAAGGTGCACACGAGATGCCTCAGGGATTTTCTGTTTGCGGATGATGCAGCCATTGTGGCACATTCAGAGGATGATCTGCAGATCCTGATGAATCGCTTTGAAAATGCTTGCAAAGAATTTGGGCTTACCATCAGTCTGAAGAAAACACAAGTGATGGGATTGAATGTTGGAAATCCACCAAACATTAGTGTGTATGACCATCAGCTGCTGGCTGTAAATGAGTTTGAGTACCTAGGCTCACGTATCTCAAGCAATCATTCTCTGGATGCAGAACTAAACAAACGTATAGGAAAGGCCTCTGCTATGTTTGCAAATCTCACAAAGAGAGTCTGGTCAAACAAAAAGCTAACTGATAATACAAAAATGAAGGTTTATGAGTCTTGTGTCCTGAGCACATTACTGTACGGCTACGAATCATGGACTCTCTATGCTCCACAGGAAAAAAGACTGAATACCTTCCATATGCGCTGTCTGAGATGCATCCTTAGTATATTATGGCGAGACCTTGTCTCCAACGAATGTGTGCTCACAAGAGCAAAAATACCATCAATGTATTGTAAACTGAAGCAAAGACGTCTGCGCTGGCTAGGACATGTCCCCCGCATGGAGGATGGTCGTATTCCAAAAGATCTCCTATATGGTGAATTGGTAACTGGGAATAGACCTACAGGAAGGCCAAAGCTGCGCTATAAAGATGTATGCAAACGTGACCTAATAGATACCAACATAGGCACAGAGACATGGGAAAAATCAGCTGCAGATCGACTACTATGGAGACAGAAAGTGAAAGATGGACTGTCACATTTTGAAAGAAACCGAACACAATGAGCTGTGGAGAGGAGGCACCGGAGAGTAAAACTGCCTCACAACGATGGAGTATCTGCTTTTGTGTGTATCCTGTGTGGCAGAGACTGCCATTCCCGCATCAGACTTTACAGTCACAGCAGATGCTGTTCCCAAAGCCAGCGGCACATCTCCATAGTCCCCCGGGACTGACGGATGCCATTATAATGTGACGTACATTTAGTGGACTTCTGTGACATTCATTTAGTGGACTTCTGTGACGTACATTTAGTGGACTTCTGTGACATACATTTAGACTCATAAACCTTCATTTTTGTATTATCAGTTAGCTTTTTGTTTGACCAGACTCTCTTTGTGAGATTTGCAAACATAGCAGAGGCCTTTCCTATACGTTTGTTTAGTTCTGCATCCAGAGAATGATTGCTTGAGATACGTGAGCTTGTGTGACGTACATTTAGTGGACTTGTGTGACGTACATTTAGTGGACTTGTGTGACGTATATTTAGTGGACTTGCGTAAAGTACATTTAGTGGACTTGTGTGACGTGCATTTAGTGGACTTGCTGAGGAGGCAGTGGGTCTGTTCTTGTTTTCTCCGCAGTGGGGCCCAGGAATCTACACAGGGGAATTTATTCATATGAAAATGGCAGTACATTTTAGAAAATGAGTGTAGGAGCTAGAGACCGGTTTCCAAGATAAATGTTGCAAATAACCTGGACAGTCTGTGTGCAGGTTTCTGGACCACATATATCAACAGCTCCTTAGCAAGAAATGAATATATAATTGTTGCTGAAATTGGATGTGTTGGGCAAAATGGCACAAATATAGCAGCCTGGCTGTAAACCACAACATGGCATACCAACCACCCTTTTAAAGTGAACATAGAAGAAGGAGAAGAAGAAAGACAGCCAGAGTGAATAAATGGGCTTGAGACAAGCTAATTAAGGTTGAGAATTTTGCAAAACTCAATGAAAGAGAAGTGTTCCTTGGACTTTTGAGGAGAAAGGCAATCGAGAACAGTGTGATGACTAGAAAGATAAACAGGATATAAAACAGAGGCAGATGAAGAGAAATTATATCAAGGATAGTGGAATTGGGGAATATCATTGTAAGAAATAATCAGTAACACTAGGGACCGAGAAATATAACATTGGTTTTACCACTAATGGAGAATGAATCCAGAGCAACTGTATTGTCAAAATGTGCCCTAACCACAGCACCAGCCTTGTTCAGACTGTTAAAGTCACTTTTTTTTTAGAAGTTATTGTGTAACAAGCAAAACCAGAATAAACATTAAAACCTAATTTTCTGAGAGTAGACAACAGCCTTATTTTACAAGCTTTTATTAAGTTCGATTTTGTTGTTGTTATTATATTTCACCTTTCTTTTACACACAAAAACACACCACTTTGCGCTAATTTCAGGTGCCGATAGTTTGCCGCCACTTTCCCTGCTACAGCACGTGAGTGACTGGGTGTACAAAGACAACACAATGTGCTGTGAGTCTCTACGCCAGGCCACCATTCACAGTGCATACACCACACCTTTCCCTGGCCTGACTGGTTGGTGTGTGCGAGGGCCAGTCGTGTGCTGCCAGCTGAAAGAGAGAGGACCAGACTGCCCCATCAGCAATGTCCACATTGAGCAGCTGTTACAGTGTCTGAATAAACTTCACCTGGCTTTGCTGCAGAGCCTCGTGTTCACAGCCAGCGTGAATCTCTCTCCTGGACTCATCAGCGCCAGCGACCTGGCACATATAGGTCAGACATTACATGTAGTCTGCAGCCCCAAGCCAAAGCACGAGGAATTGGCGGCGTGTAATATAGCCCTGGAACGACTAGCACAGATCCTTCAAGTGGCATCCACAACAAGAACCTACATACCTGATAGAGGTAAATGTGAAGTTTCTCTCTGTCATAGTGTTTATTTCTGTGATGCATGTGTGTACTACTTCTCTGTCTGTGGCTTAGGTGTTGCACACATGCTTCATGATGCCGGGGTGTCGGATTTTATCCCAGTTGCAGGCGATTTGGCAGCAGACCTTCTTGTATTGGTTTCGACAGTGGTACTGAGAGTTCAGAAAGCAAAGGCAGGTTACTGAACGCAAAAAATTCCTACAAAAGCCAGAATGACCACAAAGTGCTGGGGTTGGTTCTGCAAGGTCCTGTGATGGATACACAACTTTGTTATTACTTCTCTATGTAAAAGAAGTGTGTGTGCTATTTCTATCATGTGATAGAAGTATGTCTGCTGTTTCTGTCATGTGATAGAAGTATGTCTGCTGTTTCTGTCACGTGATAGAAGTATGTCTGCAGTTTCTGTCACGTGATAGAAGTATGTCTGCAGTTTCTGTCACGTGATAGAAGTATGTCTGCAGTTTCTGTCATATGTTAGAAGTATGTATGCTGTTTTACTCATGTGATAGAAGTATGTTTGCTATTTCTGTCACGTGATAGAAGTATGTTTGCTATTTCTGTCATATGTTAGAAGTATGTATGCTGTTTTACTCATGTGATAGAAGTATGTTTGCTATTTCTGTCATGTGATAGAAGTATGTTTGCTATTTCTGTCATGTGATAGAAGTATGTTTGCTATTTCTGTCATGTGATAGAAGTATGTTTGCTGTTTTACTCATGTGATAGAAGTATGTATGCTGTTTCTGTCACGTGATAGAAGTATGTATGCTGTTTTACTCATGTGATAGAAGTATGTATGCTGTTTCTGTCACGTGATAGAAGTATGTATGCTGTTTTACTCATGTGATAGAAGTATGTATGCTGTTTTACTCATGTGATAGAAGTATGTATGCTGTTTTACTCATGTGATAGAAGTATGTTTGCTATTTCTGTCATATGTTAGAAGTATGTATGCTGTTTTACTCATGTGATAGAAGTATGTATGCTGTTTCACTCATGTGATAGAAGTATGTATGCTGTTTTACTCATGTGATAGAAGTATGTCTGCTGTTTCACTCATGTGATAGAAGTATGTATGCTGTTTTACTCATGTGATAGAAGTATGTTTGCTATTTCTGTCATATGTTAGAAGTATGTATGCTGTTTTACTCATGTGATAGAAGTATGTCTGCTGTTTCTGTCACGTGATAGAAGTATGTTTGCTATTTCTGTCATGTGATAGAAGTGTGTTTGCTATTTCTGTCATATGTTAGAAGTATGTATGCTGTTTTACTCATGTGATAGAAGTATGTTTGCTATTTCTGTCATGTGATAAAAGTATGTTTGCTATTTCTGTCATGTGATAGAAGTATGTTTGCTATTTCTGTCATGTGATAAAAGTATGTTTGCTATTTCTGTCATGTGATAGAAGTATGTCTGCTGTTTCACTCATGTGATAGAAGTATATCTGCTGTTTCTGTCATGTAATAGAAGTATATCTGCTGTTTCTGTTATGTGATAGAAGTATGTTTGTTGTTTCTGCCACATGACAGAGGTATGTTTGCTGTTTCTGCCACATGATAGAGGTATATCTGCTGTTTCTGAAGTATGTCTGCTGTTTCACTCATTTGATATTGACAGGATTGTACAGAATCGAATTTATATAGATGTTAACCCCTTTGCGCCGTATTAATCTTAAAAACTGACCTTTTTCCAAGTTTTTGTTAAAAATGGATCCTTATAATTCTCTGAACCTCTGCCCTAAGAAACTAGAGAAAGAGAAAAAAAACTGCAGACAAATTTTGAGTCTTGTTTTTATAAACCATTGAGCAGACAGGCAAATGTGAAGTTTACAGCTTCTTCATGCTGTCACAGTGCTCCCAAAAAAAAAAATTATGTTTTTTAAACCTGCTTCAGGTTACAATTTCTAACAAAGTTTTTTTTTATTTTTTTTTAAATGTAGAAGGAAGTAATCACTAAATACGAACAAGCAACAATTAACTGCTTTCTTTGATTGCCCAAAAAAAATGTTTTTGTTTTGAAAGCCACATGGAGCAAAGTGACATTATTATATCATTTTTCAAAAGGCTACTTTTTCACCCCAAATAATACCCTTTTCTTGTCCACTATTTATGCCCACCATGTCTACACACTGTGCATTTGCAGCCAGTAACAGAGCTCTGATACAGCGCTAACAAAACCAGAGGTTTACCATGCAGAAGATGCACCACAGAAATGTCAGAGACACTGAAAAGTACTATATACCAAACGACCAGAAGGGCCCGTTCCAGAGATCTCGTCCTCCCCTGATACTGCGAGGCATTCCAGGAGTAGAGGAAAGAAGAAGAACAAAGTTGTTATACAGGCCTCATGGCCACTACCCGTGGCACAGACCTCATGGCCACTACCCGTGGCACAGGCTTCATGGCCACTACCCGTGGCACAGGCTTCATGGCCACTACCCGTGGCACAGGCTTCATGGCCACTACCTGTGGCACAGACCTCATGGCCACTAACCGTGGCACAGGCTTCATGGCCACTACCTGTGGCACAGACCTCATGGCCACTACCCGTGGCACAGGCTTCATGGCCACTACCTGTGGCACAGACCTCATGGCCACTAACCGTGGCACAGACCTCATGGCCACTACCCGTGACACAGACCTCATGGCCACTACCCGTGGCACAGGCTTCATGGCCACTACCCGTGGCACAGACCTCATGGCCACTACCCGTGGCACAGACCTCATGGCCACTACCCGTGGCACAGACCTCATGGCCACTACCCGTGGCACAGACCTCATGGCCACTACCCGTGACACAGACCTCATGGCCACTACCCGTGGCACAGACCTCATGGCCACTACCCGTGGCACAGACCTCATGGCCACTACCCGTGGCACAGACCTCATGGCCACTACCCGTGACACAGACCTCATGGCCACTACCCGTGGCACAGGCTTCATGGCCACTACCTGTGGCACAGACCTCATGGCCACTAACCGTGGCACAGACCTCATGGCCACTACCCGTGACACAGACCTCATGGCCACTACCCGTGGCACAGGCTTCATGGCCACTACCCGTGGCACAGACCTCATGGCCACTACCCGTGGCACAGACCTCATGGCCACTACCCGTGGCACAGACCTCATGGCCACTACCCGTGGCACAGACCTCATGGCCACTACCCGTGACACAGACCTCATGGCCACTACCCGTGGCACAGACCTCATGGCCACTACCCGTGGCACAGACCTCATGGCCACTACCCGTGGCACAGACCTCATGGCCACTACCCGTGACACAGACCTCATGGCCACTACCCGTGACACAGACCTCATGGCCACTACCCGTGGCACAGGCCTCATGGCCACTACCCGTGGCATCATCAAAAAACTTGTTAAAGCTGGAGAAGACGGTTTTTTTCGGAGAGACAGGGTTAAGTATGGTATTCACCTGAGCTTCCTGAGAAACCCAGCCTATCTGAATACCTAGAAATGTTCTTAGAAGTAAAGATGGTTGGTGTTATCTCCTTGTTCTTCTTGGCACACACTGATTATAAACTCCGGCAGAAAGTTCTTGTTATTCGTTCACTTCTGGACTTTGTTCTTGTTTCAGAACTTGAGTCTTGCATGCATCTATTGGTTCCTCGCCTCTCGGACAGATGCACTCCAACTTTGGAGGAAACACCTCTAATTAAATGTCTTTTATAACATGCTGGTTAGGGGCAGTGGGTCTGTCTGTTCTAAATGGGGTCCTGGAATACACACAGGGAGATTGGTGTGATGATAACCACATCCTCTGTGGAGCACCAACTGGCCTATAAAGATATGGTGCTGGTATCCTACACATGGAAGAATTCTTTACTTATGTCTTGGTGTGGTTTGAAATAGTTCACAATCACTGCACATGGCTATCTCCATAAGAGCTTCAGTCTTTTCCCATAGATCTCACTACATTCTCACCTGTCTCTCCTCATAGATCACTCTAGATTCTCACCTGTCTCTCCCCATAGATCACACTAGATTCTCACCTGTCTCTCCCCATAGATCACACTAGATTCTCACCTGTCTCTCCCCATAGATCACACTAGATTCTCACCTGTCTCTCCCCATAGATCACACTAGATTCTCACCTGTCTCTCCCCATAGATCACACTAGATTCTCACCTGTCTCTCCCCATAGATCACACTAGATTCTCACCTGTCTCTTCCCATAGATCACACTACATTCTCACCTGTCTCTCCCCATAGATCATACTAGATTCTCACCTGTCTTCTTCCCAAAGTTCTCACCAGACTCTTCCCATAGATCTCACTAGATTCTCACCAGTCTCTCCCCATAGATCACACTAGATTCTCACCTGTCTTCTTCCCAAAGTTCTCATCACTCTTCTTATAGGTCTCACTAGATTCTCACCAGTCTCTCCCCATAGATCACACTAGATTCTCACCTGTCTCTCCCCATAGATCACACTAGATTCTCACCTGTCTTCTTCCCAAAGTTCTCATCAGACTCTTCCCATAGGTCTCACTAGATTCTCACCTGTCTCTCCCCATAGATCACACTAGATTCTCACCAGTCTCTCCCCATAGATCACACTACATTCTCACCTGTCTCTCCCCATAGATCACACTAGATTCTCACCTGTCTTCTTCCCAAAGTTCTCACCAGACTCTTCCCATAGATCTCACTAGATTCTCACCAGTCTCTCCCCATAGATCTCACTAGATTATCACCAGTCTCTCCCCATAGATCACACTACATTCTCACCAGTCTCTCCCTATAGATCACACTAGATTCTCACCAGTCTCTCCCTATAGATCACACGACATTCTCACCAGTCTCTCCCTATAGATCACACTAGATTCTCACCAGTCTTCTTTCCAAAGTTCTCACCAGACTCTTCCCATAGATCTCACTAGATTCTCACCAGTCTCTCCCCATAGATAACACTAGATTATCACCTGTCTCTTCCCATAGATCACACTACATTCTCACCTGTCTCTCCCCATAGATCATACTAGATTCTCACCTGTCTTCTTTCCAAAGTTCTCACCAGACTCTTCCTATAGATCACACTAGATTCTCACCTGTCTCTCCCCAAAGATCTCACTAGATTCTCATCAGTCTCTCCCCATAGATCACACTAGATTCTCACCTGTCTTCTTCCCAAAGTTCTCATCAGACTCTTCCCATAGGTCTCACTAGATTCTCACCTGTCTCTCCCCATAGATCACACTAGATTCTCACCTGTCTCTCCCCATAGATCACACTAGATTCTCACCTGTCTTCTTCCTAAAGTTCTCACCAGACTCTTCCCATAGATCTCACTAGATTCTCACCAGTCTCTCCCCATAGATCACACTAGATTCTCACCTGTCTTCTTTCCAAAGTTCTCACCAGACTCTTCCCATAGATCTCACCAGTCTCTCCCCATAGATCACACTAGATTCTCACCTGTCTCTTCCCATAGATCACACTACATTCTCACCTGTCTCTCCCCATAGATCACACTAGATTCTCACCTGTCTTCTTTCCAAAGTTCTCACCAGACTCTTCCCATAGATCTCACTAGATTCTCACCAGTCTCTCCCCATAGATCACACTACATTCTCACCAGTCTCTCCCTATAGATCACACTAGATTCTCACCAGTCTCTCCCCATAGATCACACTACATTTTCACCAGTCTCTCCCCATAGATCTCACTAGATTCTCACATGTCTCTCCCTATAGATCACACTACATTCTCAACAGTCTCTCCCCATAGATCTCACTAGATTCTCACCAGTCTCTCCCCATAGATCACACTAGATTCTCACTAGTCTCCCCCCATAGATCACACTACATTATCACCAGTCTCTCCCTATAAATCACACTACATTCTCACCTGTCTCTCCCTATAGATCACACTAGATTCTCACCTGTCTCTCCCCATAGATCACACTAGATTCTCACCTGTCTCTCCCTATAGATCACACTAGATTCTCACCTGTCTCTTCCCAAAGATCACACTACATTCTCACCTGTCTCTTCCCATAGATCACACTACATTCTCACCAGTCTCTCCCTATAGATCACACTAGATTCTCACCTGTCTCTTCCCATAGATCTCACTAGATTCTCACCAGTCTGTCCCCATAGATCACACTAGATTCTCACCTGTCTCTCCCCATAGATCACACTAGATTCTCACCTGTCTCTCCCCATAGATCACACTACATTCTCACCAGTCTCTCCCTATAGATCACACTAGATTCTCACCAGTCTCTCCCCATAGATCACACTAGTTTCTCACCTGTCTCTCCCCATAGATCACACTAGATCCTCACCTGTCTCTCCCCATAGATCACACTAGATTCTCACCTGTCTTCCCAAAATTCTCACCAGACTCTCCCCATAGATCTCACCAGATCTCCCCAGCTCACCAAACTCTGGCAGAAACTTCTGGGTGTTTGTCTACCCCAAGACTTCAGTCTTGTTCCAGAACCTGAATGTTGCATGCACATCCGTTTCACAGATTTGGCTTTTTTATATGCAGACTTTTGGTTCTTGCCTCTGAGGCAGATGTACTCTGACTTTGAAGGATGCACCAAATTAGTTGACTCCTATGACATGCTTGTTGGTGAGGCAGTGGATCTAGTTTTGTTTTCCTCACAGTGAGGCTGTAGAAGCCACACTGGACCAGGGTTTGTTGTGTCAGTTCCACAGTGATTCACAGACAGGACTGTGCACTTTAGGTCTTTGTCTGTGTTTATCAGTCATTTCTAATCTACTTCTGTAAATAGACTAATCCTGTGTATAACTTTGCTGTCATTTCTTCTCATCAACAGGAAAAATCAAAGAAATGGAAATATTAGCAAAAGAAAAACTTCCATATTGCAGGTAAGTAGCATGTTTTAACCACATAAAAATTTATTTTTTTTTAATTCAAGGCACCATCAGATGATCACATTTTAGATAATCAGACACTTCTTCTTCTGTTTTTACAAAAAATAAACTCGTTTTTATATTTTCATCTGTAATTTATTAAAGCCTTAATTTAAAGATTAAGCTCTTCTTACTTCTTCTTTTGCCGTCTTACTGATACCTAGTTGTAGCCCAGTGTTGTGGTTTTCTGTATTTATCTTGCGTTTCTTAGGTCGCTTGAGTGATGGAATTGTTCATCTTTTTGCAGGTTTCACCTACATCATGTGTCCATCTCTTTCTTGGTCTTCCTGTTGCCTTCCTCCCAGATGTTCTGCTGTAGAAAGTCTCATATGCTGTCTGGTCTGGCTGCATTCTCACCAGATGGCTGAACCATTTCTTTCTTTGTCAACATAATCCGGACATGGTCTTTTTCCCTCTTTCTCTCTAATGCTAGTATTCGTAACCCCGTCTCTTATAGTGTTGTTAGTGACTTTGCAAAGACACCGCATTTCACATGTAGTTATTTTCTGGTCTTGTGCTCTATTCATTAGCCATCCTAAACATTGTTCTCTGTCTTGTTGTCCTTGAACATTGCCGGTCCAATGTCTGTAAGAGTCTGTCCTATATGTATAGCAATCAAATACACCAATGCCGGCTTGGAAAAATCTGACCTGGCGGTGAACATCTCCATTGCCCCGTTAGCCTAAAACCTCCCGTCTTCAGTTCTCCGGCATACACAGCGAGGAGGTGGGGTTAACCTGGGTGCTCATTGGCGGCTACTTAAATTTCACTTTTCACCTCTCTGAAGAGAATTATCCAACCTTAACACTGCTGGCTGCAGTGTCAAGTGCCTGAGCACACCTGTACGTGCTCAAGATTAAGCTCAAATCACATTTATTTGTAAAACATAAAACATTCATTTTCTTTACATTTCCTGTGCCCATTTTTTCTCACAGTGTTTTTATATTACCTTGTTGCTAATTCACCTTTACCAACAGAGTTCTTAATATTTTTCTTGTCTGGTTGGCTCGTCCCGTTTTAATGTGTGGTCTCTTCATTAACTGGTCGTACTGTAATCCCCAACTGAGAAACTACTCACAACTGGCTGCTGCCCTTCTAACCTAAATTGAGAGGGAGGGGATAATATTAACCACAACACCCATCGAGTGTGGATTGCTCGGGTGCACACGCACATACACTTTAAAGGCTTGGCCATGTGAGGGAGGGACAAGAGCACTGACCTTATCTGTAATTATGGTGATCATATAGGATTTAAAATCATGACTGCCTACTCTTATTGGCAGAGAACATGATGATAATATAATGTGCGTGATGGTCAGAATTAGGTAGATCAAATGTTGCAGCCCCTTATTGATATATTACAATCTTCTTCTCTTTCTTTTTTCTACTCCTGGAGACCATATTGAGAAAGGTGGAGGCAGGCTTGCAGAGTGGCAAGCATCACTTCAAAGGTCCAGGATAGTTAGCATCCTTTGGATATTTTCTCCAGGTCATGCCGGTTTGTTGGGAAATGAGCAGGCAGAAAGACTGGCTGGTTCTGGACCAGTTGGTGGTGAACTGAGGTATGACAAGCTGGATGTTATGAGGGCCCTTTGGGAGCGAGTGAACAGTGCCGAGGCACAGATAGATCATTACGGTCTGAGGAGAATGGCACTGCGAGGAGTTACAAGGGGATCTGGCCGATGCTCAACACTCAGGGAAAGGCGAGACAGATTTACAATCAGACAGTTACTGGTACCATAGGGGTTTTAACTCTTCGCTTGCTGTTGAAGATGTGGACGGAGCGCTTATGAAGGTGTCCCGAGTTCTGTGATGTCATTTCTTAATTCAACATTCTACTCCTGGAATGCCTCACGGCCTCAGGGTAGGAAGAGATTTCTGGAACAGGCCCTTCTGTTCGCTTCGTGTATAGTACTTTTCAAAGTCTCTGATACTTCTGTGGTCCGTCTCCTGTGTGGTCGCTTTCTTTCTATTCACTGCTAATCCAGTCGCCCTTACATGAGCATGTAGGAGAATTACACTTTTCCTTACCTTGAGGCCTCAGTTCGATCAGTTCATACTCGATGAATGATGTGGTCAATATAATCCTGGCTATGTTTACATCTCAGAATATTTCCTGTTACCATTTTTGGCTCTGGCAGCCCAGGTTGGTGTTTGTTATTCTATACTGATATTATGATCTAATATTGTAAAACTTATCGTAGACATTTTTTTTTGGGGTGGGGGGGGTCCATTATAACATGGAAACTAGACCATGTTGTGACCACTGGACAAATTTGTGGAAAAGAGACATGAGGAAGGCAATGCAAGAAGACTCTTAACAGCCCTTTGTGATGCCATGCAGGGGTGTCTACACACAAACTGAGACATGCTGTTAAAGATCGCAGATTGTGGAGAGGTATGATCGTCAGCGCCAGTCTGCAAGGTACTTGATGATTATAAAAGTAGACTTCATTTGAATAGTAATAATTACAATTTAACAGTGGCTTATCCCCCCCCCCCCCTTTTTTTTTTTTAAATACATATAGCAGATTTAAAAACCTCACAGATTAACTAAGGACTTTAATCCCTTTTGCTCTGAACAATATATTTTGTGTTTAGTTTGCACAAAGTAAAGAAATCTGACTAGATATTTTAACATGAAGCATTGTATATTATTTTTGTGGAAGTAAGGTGCTTGTGCTTTTAAAATCGCAGCTGTTGTGCCAGTTTGGCACCTGTTGCAAAATTTACTAGAGCCGAAAGAGTTGATCTTGTTGTTAATGATATTGTCAATATTATTTCCACAGACTCCTAAACATGGTGCTAAACAAACAGTTGAATCCAGATGCATCCATCAAAGGAAGAGTTACAAGCTAACAGGACATATTCTGTTATTAAAGTTGTTTTATGAAACCGTCTTACTGGTTTTATTTGACAGCTACACAAGAAATGTTTGTATGGAATGTATAAAGATTACAGCAGTGTGGTAGTCTGCCTCAGAACAGATAAACTTCAGCTGAATTAATTACAGATTTTCAAGATACTTCAGATGTATTATGACAATTTTATAACAGACATGATGAGATATGAGCAAATTTAAGAAAAAGAGAGATACTCAAAAAAGATCTCTCCCCCCCCCCCCATTGTTTAGGCAATGCGAATGCGCTTTGTAATGCAAGGGTGCAGGGTTCGATCCCAGCTGCAGGCATTGCGCTTTGCATTGCTTTCGACAGTGCTATCGAGAAGCCGACCGTCCAGAAAGCAATGGCAAACTACTGGACATAAACTTTCCTATAAAAACCACAACAGCCAAATAATGCTGGTGTTGGTTCTGCAACGTCCTGTAAAGAATATGCCACTAACTTAATGCTAGGTTGCTATTTTTAAAACCAGATCTCTGAGGGTGAAGTAGCAAAGGCATCATCATCATCATTTAGAAATCACCAGATTTAACCTGACAGTACACACTAAAAACCAGAGGCCTCAACAGTGTGAAGGACTACATATGGGCTGACTCGTTTGCTATGAAGCTGAAACCAAGATTACCAAAGGACTACACCTAGTACCCACTCAGGGCTGGGTCAACCTAGGGGCCAAGATCATTCCTGGTTCCATCAGGAACCGAACCCAGTGTAGATAGGATCAACATGTCATTTAGAGTGTATCTGCCTCAGAGGCAAGGAACCAACAGTTTGCACACAAATAAGCCAGATCTGCAAAACAGATGTACAGTTGCATGGAACATGACTAAAGTCCAGAAGTGGACAAACGACCAGAACTTTCTGCTGAAGTTTGCAGCTAGTGAATGTGGAAAAGGATAATGTGACATGGCATAAGCAACAGCATTAGACAAGTTCTGCATACAAATAAGCCAGATCTGTAAAACAGATTTACATGCAAAAACTTAAATTATGCAATAAGACCAAAATCAAGCAGTGGATGAACAACCAGTAGGAGTTTGAAGGCAGTAAACGATAGATACAAAAAGAAGGACCCACAACATCCATTGTGCAAGTCAAACATTTTAACCATTCCACCACACTGACATTCAATGATGATTTCCCCTATCCTATGCACAAGCTTTCTCTCACACTGTCAATTATAGTTACATATTCAGTTAAAAACCAAAAACAGTTGTCATGCTAGACTGATTTATTAAAAGGGTTTGAACTTTCTGGCCATCCTCATCTCTTTAACTCTTTTCTTGTCCTCTTCAAACTTAGCCTGCAGTTCAGCAATGTCTGTCAAATACAACATTAGATTATGGTAAGAAACATCACCTACACGTGTAATTAACATCAGATATTATCTTCAAATTTGACCCACACACACACACAAAAACTTCTTAGTCCAAGCTGTGTGGTAAATACAACATAAAATGTAAGTGACTAGTAAGTTAACGGAGGAAATGGAAAAGATGTGTACAAATACAACCAAGCGCTTCGACTAAATTCGTTATCAAAGGAGTGCTAAATACAACATAAACCGTGACTGGAAAACTCAGCGACAAGACAACAGAGCTTCTAAACAACCAAAGTCAACATGAAACCAAGAAATGTGTATCTGAGGGACACATATATATTGAGCACTTTGTGTCATCAACGCGACTGCAGCCACCCCACATTTACATCATCACGAGCTGTGGCTATATTAATTATACCTGTCCGCGCGTGTCAATCAGTTCTGCCAAACTGCCCATCATTTTCTTTAAATCAGTTAGAGAGAAAAAAAGAAGTAAGAGTTCATGCCATAAAGCATTGCTAAATATGTCTGTCTACAGCCTTTCTGTCGACGTCTGTGGCTTAGGTGTTGTGAACACACTTCATAATGCCGTTTGATCCTAGCTGCAGGCGATTTGGCAGCAGACTGCCTAGCGTTGGTTTTAACAGTGGCATACACAGCCAACCATTTGGTAAGCAATGGCAAAGTACTGAATGTGAACCGCCTAGTCAAATCACAAACCGCTAAAAACTGCTGGGGTTGATTCTGCAGTATCCTGTAAAGGACTTACCATTAGCGGTTTTTTTTCTCCCTGGCCTGTCAATCATTACCGCGATCGAAACCCACTGCTGGCTGCGTGGATTTTTATCATGGCATGCGGCGTGGCAGGTCGACCCAGCCTAAAATGGGTACCGGGATGTATGTCCTGGGGAAGTAAAGACCGCCGGCGTAATGCTGACTACATTACCCACCTAGTGCCAATTGGTCTGTAAAAAATATGGGTGCTCTTCCCATGTGCCCAATGCACCTAAAAAAAAAGCCTGAAAAGGGATCTTTACTTAGCGTGTCAAAACATTTCTGAAAGTGGTGTTCATTCATGCCATGATTCTAAGCTGTCCAAATCGTCCCTCTTGGTTCCCCTCTACCCATCCAACCTTTCCAGTCAAGTTAAAACTCCAGGTATCCTTTTCAGAAGATGTCCCCAAGGAATGTTGATTTTTTTTTCTAGTATCCAGAAACAATGAGTTTTAAACCCTTCGGCCTTGATTCCATGAGAGGTACCGTTAATGTGGGAGAAATGTAGCTTTTCTGCCTACTCCCTGGAATGAGAGGTCAACATGGTTTTTTTTTTTTTTTAAATCATAACCCAACCCACCCACCCCCTCCCCTTTTTTTAAATAGTAAATATATTAATACCTGGGACTCCTAAATGATGTGCAAGCACAAACAGAACCAGTGATGTTATACTGTGCTTTTCATAAATATGTCACTAAAGACATCCCAGTTTCCCCGTTTGTTCAGGAATACAGCAATAGTGAAAATACCAGGTTCACAGCTTCCCACTGCAACAGGGTTAGGTCACTGAAAATATAGCATTATCTCTTACTTTTCAATATCTGTCTTCCTATGATAATCAAAAGGTAATGTCACAAATTAGGGACACGTTTGAGAAAATCTGAAAACAATATTATTAGAATGTCTTTGCACTAGAACCCACAGGGGCACAGAAATAAAGGGAGACCAAAAAAACACATGGAGAAGGGAGCTAGAGAGCAAAGTTAAAAAAGATGGCAATGACATGGGGAGAGCTGCATGCAATAGCAAAGGGTAAAATGAGTTGGCTGAGGGCCTATGCTCCACTGGGGGTTGGCAAGGCAGAAGAAGAATGTTACAAATTGGTTTTTAACTGCTGCATGAATAGCCACTACAAATGGGTTAGTGTACCTGCTTATAAAGAAAGTGGTTGGGGATCAACCCCAAGCAAAATGAAGATAATTTTTTTAGATGAGGTGAACCCAGTCAAGAAATAGTTTTCAGAAATATCTTAAAGGGGAAAAACAATGACTGTGCCTGTGAAATACACAGTATTTTTAGATAATCACTACTTACGTGTCTTTTTAGTCTCCCTGAACTGGAAAGTATAGAAGTCCTTTAGTTCCTGAAATGAAATTTCAAAAAGAAATGCATTCACTAACACAAATATTTAGCCAAATAAGCATCTCATAGTCTTAGTCTTTCCTAAGGCGGCGCATCGGGCAGAGGCCATAGCTCTCCATGTCTGGCGGTTCGTTGCCACCTGATTTAGGTCTTGGATATTCATGAGGCCCATGGTTGAGCCTTCCCTGATGATGGTTCTATAGAGAGTCTCTCTTGGTCTTCCCCGTTTTCTTCTCCCTTCCGGTGTCCATATGAGGGCTTGATGGGGAAGTCTTGTTTTATCCATTCGGAGTGCATGGCCGATGTAGTACCAACGACGCTTTCTAATCAAATTGGATACATTTCTTGCTTGGTCTCGTCTTAGCATCTCATAATAAATACAGCATACAATACAATGTGTGTGTATGTATGTAAAGTTTATATTATATGGATTATTTTATATATATTTTATAACATTCGGCAACCAATTAATTTTGTAACACTATTGTTAACACCATTTTCAACAGTGATAATGTGATGTCTATTCTTAGTTCAAAAGTTCTCATCATTTAGTTCAACTGCTGTTCAGTCTATCTGCTAAGCAATGTGTGTACACCTCAATATTAATAACAATATACAATGCAGATCGTTTAAGGACATCTCAGATATGGCAAATTTTTGTTCTAAAGAACAATCTGTTTATCCCCAGCAATTTATTTTGCTTGAACTCTCAAATGGGTCCCCGGTGAGTTCTTTTTATCAGGTCTGCACTGTTCTTAGTAAACTGATGTTTTCTTTAACATCTGCTGGATTTTTTCTTTGGCTACAGAAACTGCAGGCGTCACTATTCATATCTCTACCAAATACATTTCTAGTTGTCATGATAAGATTCTTGGAATGAATGTGATAAGTTTGCCCTTGTTTTCTGTATACACAGCTTTAGACTAAATTCTTAGTTTTTAGCAAAAGACGATAAATAATCAAGGCTCATGAATTTTCTAGAAAGTTTTTTTTTTTTTAAACCAGGAATCAAGAAGTAGAAAAATAAATACATTCTATAACATATGAAGAAAACTGACTAACAGTGAGTAACATGTCTTGGAAACTGAAATATACCTGTTCCGAATAAGTGCTACAGTGGTTCAGAAAGAAGTTATGCAAGGCACTATTCCTAGAAGAGTCAACCAGTAACAAGGTGCATACAGGAAATTATAGACACCTCAGGCATGAAAATGTGAGACAGGGACAAGTGGTATGGACTGAAAGTATTTTCCAGCAAGCCATAATGGGAGCTACATTCTGCAAAGAAACTGGTACAGACAAGGCTCAGAAGTCTGACCGCCAAAAATATCCAGAAAACCTCTGGCCCTCATCTGCCCACCCCTTTTACATGGGTAATAACGTACCCAGAAACACATAAAAGTCCGCTGACCAAGTATTCTATTAAATGACAAATTCAGGTTCCAAATTCTGTTCTCTAAAAGTCCTCCTATATGAAAAACCTTGGTTCAAAAGTCTGTCAACCGAGACACCTACTGTATGGCTGTTTAGGTTCAAATTTCAGTCCATCGAGTTTTCTACTGTATGACAGTGAAGGGTCAGATATTCCTTGCTCAAAGATCATACTTTATGACACAAAAGGTTTAAATGTTCACCTCACTCAATGGAGTGTAAATAATCATACAGGAAAAGCCATGCCTGATGCATGCTTCCCATACACGCAGCAACCACGTGCATTGTACCACTGTCAAAGATAGAAGTCTAACATTATATTTTTTGTGGTTTCTCATGCTTGAAAAATAAACAGCAACAACGACAAATGCGATTTTTTGTCAAATATACAATAACATAAAGCAAACAGCATTAAAGGTCTATGGCTAAGAACCAGAAAGGAAATCAAAGGTAACATTTTGAGATCATGCATCTTTCCTGTAGCAACATATGAGTGTGAGTCGTGGATAATTTCTCAGTCCTCATTGAAAAAAATATGGGCTTCTGATCTGAAATGCTATAGAAAGATTCTCAGAATACAATGTACAAAGAAGAGAAGAAATACTGACATCCTGAGAGATTTAAACACCAAAGAAGACTGGCTAATAAACAGCATCTTGTCACAGAAGCTGAAATAAAAGTTAAAAAAACCTTTTCCACGCCTTCAGGCGTGTAGGGCTAGACCTATATTTTTATAGATCAATCGGCACAAGATGGGTGATGTGGTCAGCGTCACGCCAGCCGCCTTTACTTCCTGGGACTGCACCAGGTATCCACTCAAGGCTGGGTCGACCTGGAAGCCACGGTCATTATTTTTAAAAGTCCAGTTTCGCTACGCAGCGAACCCACGACCTTCTGATCCACAAGCGAGCGTCTAGCCGCTACACCACGACGACTGAAGCTAAAATTGTTTAGCTATGTTAGGTACCACCGTGGATTTGAAAAAATAATAGAACAGGGCATGATACCAGGGGGCAGGGGCCGACCAACACGAATATCGGCACAGGACATCACTGACATCCTGGAAGTGCAGGAGAGTTGACGAGGGACCGAGTGATAGGAGCTAGGTACTGCTGCATGATGATGTGATTAGTCAACAAGCGAGATCAACAGTAAATGATGACTCACATTTTTCTTCCTCCTACTCCTTATGTGTTCATGTCCCTTTCTTTCAGTTTCTTCAGTTCTCCTGCCTCCTTTATTCTTGCCATGGCGTGTGACTTTGATAAAGCCTTCTTCGTCTGGTACTCCTTCAAGCTGTTTGTCTTTCTTCTCTTCCTAATGAATAAAATAATATTTTAAAACATGACAATGTTACATAGATATAAAAAGGGCACAAAAGAGTTTCTTTGTGAAACAATGTTATTTAGATGAGCAACAGTGTGAATAATATAAAAACATGACATGGGGTTTCATTGTCAAGCAATGTTACTTAAATAAGCAACAGTGCAAAAAATATGAGGGCCATTTCATAAAAATAAACCATTTGCCACAGCTACACCGTTCATTACTTGCATCATTCAGTAGTCTTTTAGCTCACTACACATCAGCCTACAGTCGCTATAGTTCAGTGGTTCACAAATCGCTAACAAATAAACAATGACACTGTTACTGCCTTTCAAGTCACCTGTGAAATCCATTTTCTTCAAGCAGAAGGTCAAAATGCCGCCGAGATTCATTGTCGATTGTGTTTACAGGGATAACATTATGAGAGACGGTTCTGTAAAGTGACTGGTGCAGATAATGGAGATGGGCATAAAGATGTGCATAATAAGGGTGGAGAAGGACGACATGTGCAACAGATAAGCTCATTCAAAGGTCAACCAAGTCAAAGTAGAAAAATCGCCATTTCACAATTTCATATCTTTATAACAGATCTATTAGCCAGTCCTAGAAATTTGTGGAAATTCCCAAATAAGAGCCCAGATTTCTTGACTGTTTGGCCAGCCACTCTCTAGTGCTTCCTATAAAATTGCTAATTATGGTGCTTTTCCAACATCCCCCCCCCCGGATGATGTCACAGGACAGTCCAATATTTTTGAGGATGGTAAGAGCGGGTTTCCCGGCTTTCTGATGCCTTTAACAACACCAAAACACCTAGAACTGGGCCTAACCCCAACCCACCAATGTCCCATGAGAGAATGCAGCCTAGGTTCCACGAGCGCATGCAGCCTAGGTCTTACAACTGCATGCAGCCTATCTACCACCCCCTAAAATAATTTGACTGTCTGTTTGAGGGAAGATACTGGGATAGAACCCTACTTACTTCTTCCTTCTTTTTGTAGTATACTGCCATGTAAGCTTCTGCCTCTTTCTCAATGGCAGCGACATCAGGCAACTGTTTGTATTCTTCACAATAAGCTGGCAGGAGGAAAGTATAAACAAAAACAATTACAAATGATGTGTTACAGAAATATCAACATTTAGTTTGTCGCTTCCCCGTGTGGGTTCTGTAGACCCATTTTGAGGTTTAAAAATAAACAGACCCTCTGCCTCCTTAACAAGCCCGTAGTAAAAGTCCACTAATTGGGGGGTCTATCCTCTGAAGAGTACATCTGCCTGAGAGGCAGGGAACCAGATAAGGGAACCAATAAGCCAGATCTGTAAAACAGATGTGCACGTAAAACTTAAGTTCTGGAACAAGACTAACAACCAGAATGTTTCCGCCAGAATTTACAGTCCGTGAACGCAAAGAGAAAAAAAAAGAAGATTCCTGTCGCTTATAATGGCAAAACAAAACAAAAGCCAACGGCCCTTTTCACACCACTGACACATGAGGTGCCTGGTGCAAGACACATATTTTAAACTCTTTCGACCTGAGAAACCACAAAAACAACACTTTCGGTTGAGCTCAATTCTCTGTAAATATCATTTTCCGACTTGCCTATAGTGACCCGTTTATGAGACACATAGTTGATGCATTTGTTTGTTTTTGTGCCTGCACGAACATTTAAGTAATGTTCTCGTAGTCCTAATGACTGAGGTCACAGCATGAGTGAGTCACAGGATATATATGTTTTTCAGGCGCCAGGCAATGCACTACATTTAATGCTTCACCCTGTCACTTCAATATTATCCCTGTCCCCCCCCACTAAATAAATATTTATAGAAGAATTTGGGCAGTGGCGACAACATCCGTATAACAGCTTGGGCTCTGGTTGCAACTACACAGTGTACAGAAATAGTATGTATAACAATATTTACTTTTTTTTTAAACATTTTATTATGGGTGTGTGAAAAAAATCACCTTTTTTTTTTTAAACTGGTGTCAAAGTGATGTCATAATAACCTCACGATATCAGTCAACCATTTGACTAAGTCAACAAAGCCATGTGTGTCATGGTCAAAGTGAAGGAAAACAGTTAATTTGTTTTCCTTTTTTTTAATTTAGTGATTAATTCACATATTTAAAATAATTATTTTGCTCAGAAAAGTAAATGAAAAAACAAAGATGAAAAATGTTAGTAATGTTGACGGCCATGACTTCAGTGGCTATCAGACCTACCTGTCTGCTCAGTGGTCACAGGTTTTAACCACCACCCCCACCCCCCAAAGATCTGTATACAACTGACAGGTAACAAACTCAGGCCCAGCTGCGGTTGCGTCAGGACACTGTGACTGGACGTTCATTCATGCGTGTTAACCTTTGAGACGCGTAATGTTTTAGTGGCAAGGATGATAGTTGGTGCCATGTTATATTGTCTTGATGGTCTTACCGGCGACCACACATGCTCTATATTATGTGGATGTGAGCGGTTTTAACAACCCAATAACATGTGCAACTGGCCCTAACCCAAACTCCCTACCCCACACACTGGGTTCAGCCAGAGAGTGCATTCTACACCCCTCTGACCAATCATCAATGACAGGTCAGCTAGTGTGTAGATGGGCGGAGCTGGGCCTGAGTCTGTTACTGGTCACGGTGTTTCTTTTAAATTAAATTACCCCAAAAAAAAAAGAAGTCACTTTTAAGATTTTTCCAGAGCCAAAGGGTTAATGACACTTCTGAGGTGGTGAACATTTATAGCACTATCTACTTAGAGTGACAGTCGCTGTGGAGTAGCACCTGTGGATCAGAAGGTGATGAATTCAGGTCCTAATGGAGCTAGACTTTTTTTCTTTCCAAAAATGATCTAGGCTCTTGGGTCAACCCAGCCTAAAATGGGTACTAGGTACAGCCTGGGAAGTAAAGTCACTGCTGACTGCATCACACACCGAGTGCCAATTAGTCTTTAAAATATAGGTCAAGCTCTATATTCCCAATATGCCTGAAGGTACGGTAATGAGACCTTAATTTTTTTTTTTTTTTTTATATATTTTACAGTGTCACTTTTAACAGTAAACCAGATTGAAGCAACAACAGTTTAAAACTTACTTCACTTATCTCACAATGTTGACTTAAGCCTTACCTCTCAAACCAGAGACCAGTGGAACCGTTTTGTCAGACAAGTATCTAACTTGGCTGTAAGTCATGCTGCAGGCATTTTTCACACCATTTGGCTTTTTAAACACCACATATGCAACCTGGACAGACTGGAAGATACAAGCCAGTTGAAACACACAAACATATTAATGATCTTTCACTAACTAAAAATTACTACAATACTGTATGACTGCATGAGGGCAGTCCATAAAACAGTTTTGATAGATCTGCAACGGCATATAATCTGGCACTGTCATCGTTTCAGAGAAGATGCTGAAGCGATACTGCTGCACTGGCCAGTCCCTGACAAGCCTACTTAATGGCACTGGTTCTGTTTGTGCCTTCGCAGTGTTTAGAAGGACAGGATATTATTATATTAACTTAAAAAAGCACTAGAGGAGTGGGGTATACTGGGAAAGAAATGGCTTTTTGTTAAAAAGCTTTGATGATGTCATACTTCTCTTTTAGCAGTCACATGGTCATTGGGTCACGGCCTGAGTTACGATATCATCTGGGGCGGGAGAGATGTAGACCCAGTCATTTAATTCTCCATTCATGTTTACTGATCACTTGCCTTCACACATTTCTAAAATAAAATAATTTTTTTCATTTATTATTGATCCATGCTGAATGTTTTTTTTAAGGGATTTTGTTTTTTTAAGGGATTTTATTCTCCAAAGGTTTCAAAACAAAGAGTTAAGGTACTTTTAGTTAAGTGAAAGCAAAGTAGTTTGTTTTTCCTCCCGATTATTCTGCTTTCAGTGTCAAGGGCGATACAACAGTTCTGAGTCTTGCTTTTAATACTGTCTTGATCATAGAATCTTGAAAGTTATGGCTGTCTTGATCAAAGAATCTTGAAAGTTATGGCTGTCTTGATCATAGAATCTTGACAACTTTAGAAGAGTTTCTCTGATATTATCTTTAAGTAGTTCCAGCGACCATTTTTTTTTACAAATGTTTAACAATAAATTATTTTTAAGAATAGTGAATTTGAGTGAAATTCTGTTTTAAATTAGATAAAACATTACTGAAACTGTTCAAATGCTGCAACAGGCCTATGGGGACAAAATTTAGTGTTGCTGGGGACAAAGATCTATATTATTTATTATTATTACACATTATTAATATGTATTATTTAACAGCCACACAGAAACACAAAAAAGTAGCCGCAGTAGTGCAGTGGTTAGCAGGCTTGCTTTCCAGATCAACGATCATGGGTTCAAATCCCTAATTTAATGTATCTCTAAATTCACCTACCCTAAAATGGAAACAGGAAAACCTACGTCAATTAAAAAGACCAGGCCAGAATCACACAATACGTAACAAGACATAAAGGCTTACACCATCTGGCAATGAGTACGCCACTGAAGCGTAGTGGCTAGACACTTACCTGTGAATCAAATCTGAATAGAGCCAGGCATTTTTTCATGACCTAGGCTCCCAGGTCAACATAGTCTTAACTGGGTACCAGGCAAAGTCCTGGAAAGTAAAGGTGGCCCGTATCAAGGTGACCACATCACCCACTGAGCACTGATTGGTCTATTAAATATAAGTCTAGCAATATTTGCCCGTTGGTGTCTGTGGCTTCAGTGTTGGAAACAAGCTGTCAGGTTTCGACCCCAGCTGCAGGTGATCTGACAGCAGACCACCTTGTGTTAGTTTCGTGGAGGTCTTAAGTATGAGGGTTGAGGCTGCATGACTAGTGCAATCACCATGGACTGTATAAGTTAGGACATTTATTTTTGCACACAATACAAATAAAATATAACAATAACCTTACAAATGATTCGAACCTGGGTCTCTCACATGAGTCCAACCTTCTAACCATTTAGACAGGTGCTCCAGTTTTTCACAAATAATAATAATAATACTGAACTGCTAGACAGCAGGTAAAATGGTTTGGCCATGTAACAAGACTGGCATCAGACAGGTCACCACAGAGAGCAATGATATGCAGATACAGCGGTAACAGAGCCAGAGGTCGACCACGCAAATATGGACCGCACAAAAATCAGAGGCGCTTAAAAGTACTATTTACGAAGCGAACAGAAGGGCCCATTTCAGAGATCTCTTCTTACTCTGACATCGAAGAAAAGAAGAAGAAGATAATATTCATGACATAAATGGTTAACATTTTGTTTCAGTTAAAATGTGTTGCTTTTTCTAAAACCATCTTTATCATGTGCCCTGCCTGGTGTAATCAGTGTTCATTTCTCTCCACAGATCTTGGTCCCTGGTATTTTGAATCAGTTCCACTGTGGAGATTCCTCCATGCATCGTTTTTCTGGGTCCATGGGTGCCTCCTCCACATCTGATCTTCACAATGTTCTCCAATGCCTCTCTTCTCATCAAATGACTGAAGAACACTTACTGCTTCTTTCTTAGAATTGTATATAGTTTTTCTCATTTTATTTCCACACAGCTGATGTTAGTTACTCTGGCTTATCATGGTACTAGCAGCATGCATCTCAGAAACCACATCTCCACAGCCTCCAAGTTCTTCCTAATTTGTTCATTCACATTCCAAGATTCACAGTCATATGGCAGCACTGTTATCTCAGTACTCTTTTTCTTTTCTTTGATGAGAGAGATCTGTTGTAGAAAATATTTTCAATTTTTTAAATATCACCTTCACCTGGCATATCCTGCTCCTAATTTCTGTCACACATCTTCCATCAGATGTTATAATTGTCCCCAAATATTTGAACTTGTTGACCTGTGTTGAAGCACTTAGCCTTACATTGTAATATCACACTTTGTTGATGGTTTCTTCTTTGTTAAAAGCACTTTTTTCTGATTCATATAATATAATCACAAACTCGTAATCATGGTCTTCTTCATAACCTTCACTCGCTACACTCCGGTAGAAAGTCCTGGCTGCTCGTTCATTTCTGGACTGAAGTCTTCTTCTAGAACTTAAGTTTTGTGTGCACATCTATTTTACTGAACTAGCTTATTTGTATGCAGACCTTTGGTTCCTCACTCCTCGGGCAGATGCATTCCAACTTTGAAGAAGGCACCCCTAATTAGTCAAATTTTACAACATACTTTTGAAGGGCAGTGGGTCTTTTGTATTTGGGTTTTTTGTTGTATTTTTTTGCCCCCACAGTGGGACCCTGGAACCCACACAGGGATACATGGTCTCAGTAGGAAGACAAAAAAGTCTTAAAGTAACAATGTATTTTTAAAATACCTTTATAGATTCTTCTGTAGAAAAAAAACTCTTCTTTGATGGCATCCCTGATGGTTTAGGCTGCAAATATACCTGTACAATCTCTCCACAGCCTTTGAACAACAACATGAGGTTTTCCTGAAATGGAGACACAGAAATAATTATTCTCATTGAATATTTCATGAATACGATGATAGTATCAGCAGATGCTTATGCAAAAAAAATATGAAATGTTCAGGATTTCATGCATAAACAGATGGACAATGTGTGACAGAAATTAAGAGGGCAATTGACCAGGCAAAGGCAGCATTTCAGAAGATGAAAAGTATCTTATGTGATAAATCACTCTCATAAAACATCAGAAAACGTGTACCGAAATGTTATATCGAGCCTGTTCTGTTGTATGGCAGTGAATCTTGGAATGTAAAAAAAACAAATTAAGAAGAGTTTGGAGATGTGGTTTTTGAAGAAGAATGTTGCAAATACCTTGGACTGCCAAAATAATTAACAACAATTGCCTGGAAATGCTAATGAAAGTAAAACATTATATACACCAATGTTGGAACTCTTTGCTTGCTGCTGAAGATGGGGACTGAGCACTTATTGGAGTGTCTCGAGTGCTGTGATGTCAATTCTAAATTCAACATTATATACACCAATGAGAAGGTTCTTTGGTCATGTGAAAGAAAATATCGTGATGACTGGAAAGTTCACTGGTAGAAGAGGCAGACCAAGAAATATGATGTTGGTATGGCTTGAGACAGTGGCATGGGGCATCAGTGGAATTGATTCAGAACACCAAACCGAGATCTAAGGAGAAGCATGAACGCCTATGCCAGCTGGCAAGGCACTTGATGATGATGACATTGATTTTAAAAATATATATATATATATTTCAGTACTTTTCTAATCCAACAACACAATTCCATTTATAAGTTTGAGGAAATATTGCGGATAAACAGTTCCAATTATTTAGATACTGCATATCATTTCCAACATGAGGCCAAAAAATTAGAAGAAGAAAGAGGGGAATTAAATCAGAACAGAAATTAAGAAAGAGACCATGGGAAAATATGAGAAAGGAGTCCGTCAAACTGATTTGTGCAAAGAATGGTGAATTAAGAATCAACATGACAGCACTCGGGACAATCCCATAAGCGCTCCATCCCAATCTTCCGCAGCAAGCGAGGAGTTAAAATTTTCAGAAACTGTCTGATTGCATATCCGTCTCGCCTTTCCCCTGAGTGTCGAGCGTCAGCCAGATCCCTTTGTAACTCCTCGCAGTGCCATTCTCCTCAGACTGTAACGATCTTTCTAAGCCACTGCACTGTTCCCTCGCTCCTGCCGGGCCATCACAACATCCAGCTTGTCATACATGAGTTCACTACCAAGTGGTGCAGAACTGGCCAGTCTCGTGCAAAGAATAACTTTTTCAAGTCCAATGTAGCTACAATTCTCCAGAAAGCAGGAATCTGATATGGCCATGTCGAAGAAATAAAAAATGCAAGAATTGGAAGCTTTACTAACTTGTCTGGATTAATAATCACGTTAAACTAAAAGCAGTAGTATATCTAAAAATATTATCTGTTTTAAAAACTAAAGCTTTTTACAAAAGTCTATCAATCTTACCATCCACTACTAGTAGCACAGACATCAGGAAAGAGTTTAAAACTAGCAACGGATGGTTTGAGAAACTCAAGAACAGAAATGGTATCCATAGTGTTGTTAGACATGGAGGAGGTACTAGTGCTTATAAAAAAGCCGATGAAAATTTGTGAAGCAATTTCAGAAACTGATGGGGTCAGAGGTTACAGACCAGAATAAGTTTTCAGCTGTGATGAAACTGGGCTTTTCTGGAAGACAATGCCTAGGAAAACATTCATCAATAAGGGGAAAAATGGCTTGGCCAGGACACAAGCCAATGAAAAACAGACTGAATTTGCTTTTTCTGTGTGTGTGCCAATGCCAGTGGTTATCTGAATATAAAAACTTTCTTGGTTTATCAATCTGAAAATCCTAGAGTCTTTAAAGAAGAGAAAGTTAACAAATACAAATCTAACTTTATGCAGAAAAGATTAGGTAACCAAGCAATTCTTCTGTGAGTGGATGACAGAGATCTTTGCCTCCATGGTGAAACAGTATCTACAAGAAAAGGTAACCAGGCAATTTTTCTGTGAGCGGATGACAGAGATCTTTGCCTCCATGGTGAAATGGTATCTACAAGAAAAGGTAACCAGGCAATTTTTCTGTGAGCGGATGACAGAGATCTTTGCCTCCATGGTGAAATGGTATCTACAAGAAAAGGTAACCAGGCAATTCTGTGAGCGGATGAAAGAAGAGAGCTACTCTTCCATGGTGAAATGGTATCTACAAGAAAAGATAACCTTGCAATTCCTCTGTGAGCGGATGACAGAAGACAGCTTTTCTTCAATGGTGAAACGGTATCTACAAGAAAGTGACCTGCCTAAGAAATATTCTTCTTACAATGGACTACGGAGCAGTGGGCAAGTTTTAATGCTGGTTCATAATGAGAGAATGTCAGAAGACAGAGATAAAAACTGTTTAAACAAGGGAGCTGAACAGCCCTAGACCACGAGGCAGACCAAGAATATTATGGAGAGATAAAGTCCAGACAGACCTGCAAGCTCAGTGTTACCAACTGAAAAGAGAAGGCCAACAGAGAGATGAGTGTAGGCAAGTCATATTCTTGAGGGCTCAAAATACTGAAGAAGAAGAAGAGAAGAACAAGTTTACTGATTTCCTCTAAGATGTAAGAGAAATTTGGTTTATAGATAGTTTTCAAGATATGAACCAGTCAGAAACAAATCAAGTTCATATGATATGGCACTATTGTTACAGCCATCTTTGCTTACTTCTCTACAATATGGCGGTACACTGTACACCACAAGTGTCTTTCCCTCTGGCCACTCCGCACAGCTGAAGGGTGAAGAGTGTGGTCGGAGAAACAGGTAATGAGATGCATGGCTGCGTTCACTACCCTTGACTTGAAGGACTGTCGAAAAACATTACAATGCAGTTATTCTGTGTGGTGGTAAGCAGAGGAGCAAACTAATACAATCGAGTCTACTTAAGTCAAACCCAGATAAGTCGATTTTCGGTTAAGCTGACATGTCCAGCTTAGTCCTGACAATTGTCTCTATTGTCTGGATAAGTAGAAATCCTGATAAGTGGAAGCATTTTCTTAGGTCCCTGCGACTTCTACTTATCCAGACTCGACTGTAATATTTGTTTCTGTTCACCAGCTGTAAACAATGGCGGAAAGACCTGGTTGTTCGTCCATTTCTGGACTTGGCTTTGTTCCAGGACCTGAGTTTTGCGTGTGCATCTGTTTTACAGATCTTGCTGATTTGAATGTAGACTTGGTTCCTAGTCTCTCAGGCAGATGTGATCTAACTCTGAAGAAAGCTCCCGATTAGTCAACTCTTACGATAGGCTTGTTGGTGAGGCAGTGGGTATTTTCTTGTTTTTCCCACAATGGGATCCCGGAACCCAGAGGGGGAAATTTAAAAAATAATTTAACTCTTTTTGCCAAGCTTCTATTCTTCTTCTTCTTCTGCGTTTGCCCTTCAAAGGGTGGTCTGTATTCTACCCACCCAAACTGATCACAAGTTACTTTATAACTACCAGGTGCCTTAATATAGCCGTGTTATACGTTGAAAATGGCTTCTGGATGTGTGCGTCTGCGTGCGTGTCTCTTATAACAATCTTTTCCTGCTTTTCTATGTCATAAGCAGATACAGCTGATAAGTAATTGAAATTCAGTGCATAAGTGGTGGACCACTGTACATCCACCTAAGCTGTATTCCAGCTATATATGAAACAAGTTTGTGTGTCACACACTAGTTTCAGTAACAATGAATTATCCCCGAATCATCAAAAAAAAATTTAAACTGTAATTTTCGGAGGGCACCGTATATATTATTCAAATACTGTAATGCAGTTTCAGAGTGAGATTTATGTCATTTTTTTCTTTGATGTTGTTTTGTTTCTCATTGTTTTTTGCTGACAAAGCTAGTTGCTACAACCACCTTTGTTTACTGTAACTGGTTCTGCTAAGCTGACATACATATGTTTAGTTAATTTGCTTATACTTAATCAAATAATCATTTTAATGAAGTTGTGAATGAACTGCATTAATAATTATTTTGAATTGTCTGATCACAAACAACTATTTTCTAATTACATCTCGGCTTATAAACGATGCACAGACTTGAATGAAGTACCAATGGATTTAACAACTGCTTTCTGATCTATTCTATCAAGAAGGCACTATTTAAAAAATTTCATTAAACTTTAATCAGTGATATTTCTCATCAGTGCATCCAGGACAGAGATAAGATGTCTTAGAAGAGATGCCTGAGTATAACAGGTTTCGTCCTTTTTAGGACGAAATGTTTTTTTTATTTGAAGCCCCCTTTTGCCAGGGGCCGCAATATAGGAAGGCCATAAATATGGCCAATTGTCTGAACTCGGTGTCTGGGACCTCTCCAGGGCGATCCTCATCCACATGGTGGCACTTGGGTGTTTATCGCTTGTGTGACGTCCTGGTGGGGTAGAAAGTCAAGTCAGATGCCTGAGTATAGGAGATGAAATTACAAGACTTAGACAGCAAGGGCTGGACAAGATAAAAGAAATATTGAACAACAGTTATCAATCATTACAGTACCGAATACCCTTAAGCAAGGTCTCAAAGAAATGAAGATCAAGTTATACAGCGTACTAGAAAGAGATCACAGAAGGGAGATCCTTCACTCACCAACAACACCTTGCTGAGGTAACTAGAGGGAGAAAAACAAGAAAAATAGTCTAGAACTCTAGAGGGAGAAAAACAGAAGAAGAATGGTCAGTGACTAAATGCAATAAAGATTATTCGGCTCTCCTCCAAACTTCTACCCCGGCATTATGGCCCTACCGGCCGGGCCGAACAAATATCCTTACTGGGCTCAGTCCTATTAAAAATTTGCAAACTTCCGGCGACGAACAAATCGCAGCAAAACTAGGATCGGCTCCGTATAGCGAAACAAATGCTCTAACAGGGTCTCAGCAATATGTTAATTGTGGACCTGTTTTCTTATTGTTTCTGATTACCTGACAATTTTAAGAGACGCAACACTGCAGACGATAATAGCGACCGTTGACACTTTCGAGCGTTTCTGCAGACGATAAAAGTGACATGGCGGGGAGACCACGTGCGCCGACTCAGATTAGCGTCGTCGTTGTCCTCAAACTTTTCGGCATGCGCAAAACGCGGTTACACTTACAGCCGACCGTATCCCCCGCGCCGCTACGCGCAGATGGGGGGCTAAACTAGAAGCCTGGGACTCAGAAGTAAATTAATTGGAGGAAGTTGCAGGAGATCCAGTAGCAGCTGCTTGTGAGTCCCAGCCATCTAGTTTAGCCCCATCTGCTACGCGCGTAACGACGCGGGGGATACGGTCGGTGGTGAGGCATAGTCACAGAAACAGGTCCGCAATTAACATATCTCTGAGACCCTGTTAGAGCATTTGTTTCACTATACGGAGCAGATCCTAATTTTGCTGCGATTCGTTCGTCGCCAGAAGTTCGCATATTTTTAATTGGACTAAGCCCTGTAAGGATATTTTAGGCCGCCATAATGCGGGGGTAGAAGTTCGGAGGAGAGCCGATTAATCTGGCAACTATATTAATAATATTATTATGTTGGAAAGACTGAACACTTAGCCTGAGTATATTAATGTTGATTATTACTAGAATTAGGATTTAAGTCAATTTTGAAGAAGAAGCTGATGCCTTAGTTTTAAACTTAGTAAAAAACATGTTCACATGTTCATCGGTCTTCTACTCGTCTTCTTCTTTACGTCCTCCTCTTACCGCTATGGGTGTCGATGGAAGCTTAAGGTACTACTGCTTCGTGCTTTTCTGGCTGCTTCAACCGAAGACACATCGTGGTACTGTAGAGTTTCTCTGATGTTATTCTTCCATTATGTTCTTGGTCTACCTCTTGCTCTACGTCCCTCTCCACCTTTGGTATATGATGTATCTGCATTAAATGACAATCCACAATCTAGCAACTTTGGTCAAATTTTCAAAATCGTTTTATCCTCATAAAACAAGTACAGCTGCATCCGTATTGAAAACCCCTTTCCAACGGTGCCTCTTTCATGCCTCTATGTCAAGTCAAATGAATGGTAAGGAAGGAATGGTAGTCTTGTACAGTACAGTCCAAAAAAAAAACATTTCTTTTCAGTCAGTCAATATGGACCACCAACCGACATCCAACAATTACACAACCGAAAACATGTGCGACAACGGTTTACCCGTGAATCCTTGTAGTACAAGGGCTTCACTCTCGTTTGTTGTAGAAACCATGTTGTTTTCACGCTCAAGCTCAAATGTATCGTCCTGTCGGAAGTGCCTTCAACATGCTGTAGTTTCACAATATATCTATCTATTTACACAATATTTGTGAAATAGTCAGCTGGTCTCTGCGTTCTTTTAGTAGCTGCTTTTTCTCTACAGGACGTTACAGGAGCAACCCAAGCATTTGTTTGGCTGTTAGGGTTTTTCTAGGCATATTCTACATTCAGTAGTTTGCCTATGCCTATGAACGGTCAGCTCTCGGTACCACTGTCGAAACCAACGCAAAACGTGATCTTTGGCTATGAAAGTCTGGCGGGAAATTATGGGTGTTCGTCCACCTCTGGACATTAGTTTTGTTCTAGAAACTGAGTGTTGCATGCAATTCTGTTTTACATATCTGACTTGTTTGTTTGCAGACTGTTGGTTCCTTGCTTCTCGTGGCGATCACTTCGACTTCAAAGGAAACCCCCTGTTAGTGAACTCTTACGGCATGCTAGTTGGGGTGGCGGTAGGTCTATTCTTGTTTTCCCTCACAATGAGGCCCCAGGACCCACACTGATATACCAGTTATTTGGCATTATTTAGAAACTGCGTAGATGTGGTTTATAGACGAATTATGAGAATTTCATGGGCAGATAAACAGAGCAGTGCAGGTGACTTTAAAGACACTGACTGCCCGGTTCGCTAGAGTAGTTGGCTAAACCGGACTGCGCGGTGACCGGATGACGAACTCCTTGTGGTCCAGGTTCACGCCCGTGGGTGGGCAGAAAATTCACATTTCTTCCAGATTTATGGTATTTATCATGGAATCAAGGCCGAAAGTTTGCGATATCCATAATACCGAATTTAAGGCTTAACAATTCATGGCTTCTGGATACTAAAAAAAAAAAAAACACTGACTACGGAAGAGAACTTATTGTCCACATCAGAAGAAAGCAATTTATATTTTTTGGTCATCCGGTCCTGGGTCATCACATGAGAAGGGAAAGTCGAGTACACCGTGACAGTGGAAACGCTGGAGGAGGGAGGCAGAGGAAGACCGGGAAAGAAGATGCTGAACAGTTAAGATTTCACGGTATGAAAGATCAGCTGTATCTGAGTTAACTGAAAGTATACGCTTAGATAGATATGATAACCAATGCCATACGGCATGGACTTTAAGAAAAAGACAATGCCACTACTAGTAGTAGTAGTAGTAGCAGCAGCAGTAGTAGCAGTAGTGGTGGTGGTGGTGGTAGTAGCAGCAGTAGTAGCAGTAGTACTAGTGCCTGAACCAAGACGGTCTCCAGTTCTGGAAGCAATGTTTACTTTAGAACAACCTTCATCACAGACACTACCATCGTTGAAATATACGTGTAAACTTCATGAAACAATATGCATAAGCAATTTTTGTTGTGTGATGTTTGCAGGCTAAAAATTTTGTACTTTATGTCCCTATGTTGTTATATTGTGTGTAACTATATATATATATATATATATATATATATATATATATATATATATATATATATATATATAGCTTCAATCTCAAGCTTATTTGTAGAATTTTTGTAGGGGACCGCAGGAAACACCGAAAAAAAAAGGGATTGTCAGAGTGAAAACTTAACGTATCTTTAGCCCAGTTTTGTGACGTCAGCAGCAAATGGGTCACATGTCACATGGAGACGGTCTTGCCTGAACCCACACAGGGAATTATGCAGTAATTCCTCTTCTTCTTCTTGTTCACCGGCTGTAAACTCCGCGGAAAGTTCCAGAAATGGACCTTTGCATGGACGCGCGTTTTACACATCTGGCTTATTTATATGCAGATCTATTGGTTCCTCGCCCCTCAGCCAGTTGCACTCCGACTTTGAAGGAGACATTCCTAATTAGTTGTCTTGTTTGACATGCTTTTTAGGGAGGCAGTGGGAATATTCTTTTCGCGCTAAAATGGAAGAAAGAAAATTACTACTACTAGGCCTACTACTACTCCGACCCTAGAAAATTATTGTGTGTGTAGGGAAAGGAGAGTTGATACACAGTTCTGAAACTCGTGGCTTGGCGCTCACCAAAGTCTTGAGATCGAATCCGCGTAGAGACGGCATTATATAATTGACTTAGTGCTCCCGGACTCATCCAAGCTAAAATGAGCAGCTAGCCCTGTATACCCAATGTGCCTGAAACGTGGAAAAGGGTCCTTTACTGTTACATTTAAAATTGGTAACAGGAAATGTCTTGGGAAGTAAAATTCGCCGACGTAGTGTTGACTGAATCACCCGTCGAATACGAATGGTCTGTAAAATAAAACACCATCAACATAATATCAAGACAAGATTCTAAACTTCTAAAGTACCATCACACTAGCCGTGTCCCGTTGATCCTATTTGCCTGTTTGTTAAAGTAAAGAAACAACTGTAAAGTTTCTATGTTTATCTATATTTACGCTTACCATAATGTACATTTATTCATGTTATAACAAAAATTAAATATACACTTTAAATTTTACTTATTTAAACTTTTAAATTTTACTTATTTAAACTTCATAAATTTTAAGCCCTTATATTAAACAAAAGGTAAGGAATTTTGGCTTGGAGTCTTTTCACGTAAGAGTACTAAAGCTGCAGACGAGAAAGCAAGTGATGATTTTCCGAGTCTGAGGTGTGGGGTCCGCTGTTCGGAAAGATGAAAGAGAACCGGGCGATTCGAGTATGGGGTTCACGGGTATTGTTGGTTCCTTATGAGGCACACCATGTAATGAAGTATGTATTAAGAAGACTGCCTTCGTTTTTATTTTTCAGTGGTTCTCTTACAGAGAGTGTGTTTGCGGCCTCTCTCTTACTCTTTTCTGTGTAGAAATGGAGAGATAGATTACTACGGTGTTCGGCAATTTGCGGTCTTTTCAGCAATTTCCGTTACCCGGAAACCGTTCGAAACTTGTTCGGGAAATCTCGGCTGGTTTCCGGATGGGTCCAAATCTCTCATGAAATTTCGCGATTGGTGGGAATTTGGACTAGCTATAAATAGCTGAAAACGGCGGGAACGATCCCGATTACAAATACAAGTTTATACAGCCTGAATTGCTCTGTTTTTTCTGTTACATTTACATCAGTTTGATTAAAAATTCGGTAAGTATTCAAGGTTAGTGTTAGGCCTTAGCTGTTACTAGACATGGTAATGCTAGTTATAATTGAATTCTCCGTCCAGTTTTACATTTGTATATAAAATTTCGGGGCTCTCCTGTCAAATCCGGACGAAGAATAAACAGCCGTGGACGAGTTAGTCAGAGTTCTCTCCCTTGGCCGCACTCCGAACAGTAATCGGAAAACAAACGAAATAAACGACACACTTACCTATCATCCTGCGGTTGCGTGTAGGGCTGCGTACGGTTTCGTGAGGCATTGTGAATGGTTGTGTAGTCATCATCATGCGGTTGTTGGGTTAGAGTTAGGGGTAGGGTTAGGGGTAGGGTTAGAGGTAGGGTTAGGGTTAGATGTGAAAATTTTGACGTAGGATTTCGAAATACTGGCCGACAATCAAATGTTTGTGGGAGTGGCGCCACTGAAACTCTGCCAAATATGACGCCAATCGCGTGCGGCTGGTGCCCCCAATCGTTGGCGAATTGTGCGTTTGACCAGCATCCAGAGGCCCTCGATTGTTTGTGTGTGTGTATGGGACTGTGCGCGATTATAGGGAAATCCGGCGTCAAAATTGTCAAATCTAACGCTAAACCTAACACTACCGCTAACCCTAATCCTAATCCTACTCCCTAACCCTAACCCCTACCCCTAACCACGCAAATTTATCGATCATTAAAGCATACAAATCGGCAAAAACCAACAAACAAAACACACCCAAAAAAAAAAACCAGAATTGTCCTGCAGCGTCGAAAAAAAACCCCAGATCTGGGGGAAACAACCAAGCATTGGCAGCCCTGATGTCGACGTGACTGTCTTCTTTGTTTCGTTGGCTTTTCCGATCACTGTTCGCAGTGCGCCCAAGGGAGAGAACTCTGACTAAGTCGTCCAAGGCTTTTTATTCTTCATCCAGATTTGACAGGAGTACCAATTTCGGCTCTACTGTCAAATTTGGCCGGTAAGCTGGACTGCTTCGGCCGGCTTAGTGGGAGTTATGTCCCTTGGCCAAACTCAAAACAACTCAAAACAAGTCGCGGAAAAAGTCACGAATCAAACGGCATACTTACCTATCATCATCCGGGTGCGTGTAGGGTTGCGTAGGGTGTCTATCATCGTCCTACGGTTGCGTGTAGGGCTGCTTATTGCGTGTAGGGTTGGTTGTTTACGTAAGATGAGGGGTAGGGTTAGGGTTAGCGTTCAGGAATTAGGGTTTAGGTTTGGGGTTAGGTTTAGGGTTAGGTGTAGCGTTAGATGTGACAATTGTGACGCCGTAGTTCCCTACAATTGCGCACAGTCGCATGCACACGCAAACAGTCGATAGGTACTTCAGTCAAATTTTTAAAATGCCCTCTACACCATTAAAACCAGCACAGTTAGATAGCTGTAAACAATCTCTTTCCAATGGTACCTCATTTAGGCTTGTTGTAAGAAACAGCCGCTAAAACTTGTGACCTAGAAACAAGAAGTTTTTCACTGCGCAACCTACTGCGCAGTTCTGTATCGGCTTTGTTGACATTGGACTGTCATTGGACAAGATGGCAGGCAATGAGACTCAGCTCACTCAGCCGCATGCGATTGCCTAAAAAATGTCACTGTAAATCTAAACAGCCAAAGACGGGAAAGAAATTTTATATGCAAATGTAAAATTGGACGGAGAATTCAATTGTAACTAGCATTACCACATCTGGTAATGTTTAAGGCCTAAACCAACCTCGAATTTACCGCTATTTTCAATCAAACTGATAGACTAACAGAAAAACAGAGAATGTCCGGCTGTCGTAGACATGCGCTGTTAATCGAGTTCCTTCCCGCCGTTTTCAGCTATTTAGAGTGGGTGAAAATCACATCAATAGCAAAATTTCATGAGAGATTAGGACCCATCCCGAAACCCCAGCCGACATTTCCGAAACAAGTTTCAAACGGTTTCTATGGTAACGGAAATTGTCGAAAAGATCGCTAATTTCCTAAACTGTAGTAGCTACAGTCGACGGACGGTGGATGCTACTGACACGGACAATTCGCCACCGATTGGGGCACCAGCCGCCGCACGCTATTGCCGTCATATTTGGCACACTTCCAGTGGCGCCACTCCCACAAGCATCAGATTGTCGGCCAGTATTTCGACCTCCTACGTGAAAATTGTCACATCTAACCCTAACCCCTAACCCTACCCCTACCCCTAACCCTACCCCTAACCCACACCCCTAACCCTACCGCTAACCCAAACCCTACGCAACCCTACACGCAACCGTATGATAATAGACACCCTACGCATCCCTGCACGCAACCGTATGATGATGATAGACACCCTACGCGCAACCGAATGATGATAGGTAACCCTAGATGCAACCCTACACGCATCCGGATGATGATAGGTAAGTATGTCATTTGATTCGTGACTTTTTCCGCGACTTGTTTTGAGTTTGGCGAAGGGACATAACTCCCACTAAGCCCAGCTAAGCCGGCCGAAGCAGTCCAGCTTACTGGCCAAATTTGACAGTTTGATTAAAAATTCGGTAAGTATTCAAGGTTAGTGTTAGGCCTTAGCTGTTACTAGACATGGTAATGCTAGTTATAATTGAATTCTCTGTCCAATTTTACATTTGTATATAAAATTTGTTTCTTATCAGTGGCTTTTTAGATTTACAGTGACATTTTTAAGGCACTGTGTCTGAAAAAAAAATTGTCTGCCATCTTGTCTGGGAACTTTTCACTAGTGACTAGGAGCCCGATAATTCAATAATACTCACTGTTTTCTGATATTTAGAGAATCTTATACACAAGTGTTTCAAAGTACAAATCATTCAAGTAATTTGCTGTAGAAATTATAAAGATATTTTGAGGATTTTAAATAGATTATGTAATATTATCTGGATTATTTTATATTCACAGTGGGTTTCAAAAGCAGAGACGTTATAATTGATTAAATACTTGAACTGTCCAACCATTTATACTTTTGTATAGAAAATCTTGTACTTATAAATAATTTTTTAAACATACTACACGTTTTTAATTAAACTAGTCTATGTGAAGTGAAAGAAAAAAATGACGGGGACAGCCATTGCTACTAGAATGTTTACTGCCGTTACCATAACAACACAATAGTTATAGCCTGCTTTAAATCTGGACTTTCCCCTTTACTTTCAGTAAACATTTATTTATTATAATTCGTATTTATAATTACAATTATAGTAGCTATTACAATTATTCAAGTGACCCATTTTAAAACGAAAGTAGAGATCGCTTAGTTACAAGATGGAGTCGGTGGTCCACGAAAAATGGCTTCTTTGCGTATCGGTTACTTTGAAATCCCGTCGCTCAATACTGGCTGTTCTAAATCGAATAGGTGGGCTCAAAGTTATTCAGAAGAGGTCGCTCTACCAATCGACACCTAACTTACATAGCGATCTTTATTCAGCCAAATAAATTTCATTATTTGCCATGCGGGAATTAAATTTCTTTAATATCTCCTTTTTAAAGTAAATATAAATACTTTTCATTGACATTTTTGGATTCTGCGTCTATTTTTACATAAATATGGGCAGTTTTGCTGGAATCTGTACATCATAGAATATAAAGTTTAAATTTCTTCCCGGTCACTTCTTAGGGCTAAATCGGCAATTTTTCAAAATGGCTACCGCGTGGCCTAAACGAACTGTTTATCTCAGATTAATTAATCTAGTTATTTATTAAAACAGTTCAAAAATAAGGCAAGTTTTATTCGTATTTATAATTTACCTTTCTTTAACTTAAATTTCACATGTTTTTATAATTTTAAATACCTGAACATGTTTTAGCACGTTTTTAACATGGACTATTTCTAGGGTATTTTGTGTTAAAAGTGGACACAGACAGCGGTTTAAACATTTTATAATCATCATCATCATCAGGTGCCTTGCCGACTGGCGTGGGCGATCATGCCTCTCCATAATCCGCGATCTCCTGCAGCATGTATCAGTTCGTGTGCCGACACACCTCCATGCCATGCAACAAGACTGTCAAGCATCTTCTCTCATGGTCTTCCTCTATCCCTCCTTCCACAGATCTTTCCAGTGGTCACAACATGTTCTATTTTCCCTCTTCTCATAACATGGCCGAAAAATGATGACTGTCTCCTTCTGATGTCAGTGATAAGTTGTCTTCGGTCTCCCGCCTCTTTTAAAACCTCTTGGTTGCTCTTTTTGGCTGTCCAAGGTATTCTAAGCATTCTTCTGTAAAACCACATCTCTGAGGCCTCTAAAAATTGTTTGACCTGCCTACCGATTGTCCAGGATTCACATCCATATGTTAAAACTGGATGTATGTAGCAAGCAAGAATTCTTTTTCTAACTCTCAATGACAAGGATATATTGCACAAGATGTTTTTCATTTTATAAAATGCAGTTTTTGCCTGTCCAATTCTGTTTCTTATTTCAGTTATGCATCTTCCATCTGATGTTATCCATGTGCCCAGATACTTAAATTTCTGTACTTGTCTTAAAATAACACCATTGACTTTTATTACACATTTAGGAATAATTTGTTTCTTTGATACCACCAATACTTCTGTCTTCCCATTTTATAATAATAGTTTTAAATAAATATAAAGTAGTTATTTAATCATTTTTTGAATCTTTAGCCATTAT